ACCACTTTATATAAGATACAGCATAAGCACCTTCCATTTATATAACTTTTAACAGATATATATAGAATTTTATATGGATAAATATAACTATAAATTGTTAAAGAAAGTATACTGGAACTTTAATAATACAAATACAATAGAGATTATTTATATACACCAAAGTCATGCTAATTAACAAACTAACAATTTATACAGTATACATATATGAAAGATTTATGAAATGAAAGAATTATCCTGATTTACTTTTTTTGGAGTTCTTGACCTTTTCAGGAAAGAAAAATCAAATACTGAATTAAAAGAATGAATTTAGAAGGAAAAAAAAACTCAACATTGAGTTGCATTTCATGTTGACATGAACTTTTTGAATTTTCTAAAGTTGATAATTTATAATTTTTTTCCCTCCAGGCTGAGAGGTTAGCAGCGGCCCAGCAGGAGATAGAGAGAAGTATGGAGGTGCTGAATGAGAAGGAGACAGAGATGGGTAGGTTACAGACAGACCTGGAGTCCGCCCAACAGGAGAGAGAGGAGAAAGAACGGGCCCTGATGGAGGCCATGGCCAACATCCACGTCAAGGAGCACGAGACTGAGGAGAACGACATCGGAGAAAACGGACAGGAATTCAGTAAGTCTGCTGTAAAGATAGAGTAATGTATAGAGTAAAGCAATAGTGAAATCGGTAAGTCTGCTCTAAAGAGTAGTAAGATTTTGACGAGTCTTAAACTTAATGTCAGATAAGGAAACAAAATATAGGTTTTTAAGCATATATCCAGAGACTAGAGCATCGAACTAATTGTAACAGATTTGTTTTTGTTATAAATAAACTGTATATTTGAGACATTCGAAATATATAATCTGTAGAACGTACAAAATATAAATGTAGTATAAAATCTAACAAAATCTGACAAGGAGGAAGCATTATTTTGGGTTATAAAAAATAATTGGTTAAATTGTTAGTTCGTTTTAAAAAGGAAGTGAATTAAACTGTGTAAATAACATTTGTAAATACAGTGAAACCTTTTATGCCAAACACAAAAATTATTACAGAATATTGCTGCATTTCGCAGCCTTGAATGGTAAAATGGTTATCAAAACATAAGTCATTTCCTTGAAACTTGTTTTATTTACACAAGTATTAAATAATGATAAGTTAAATCAATCAAAAAAGTTGAAATTTAAAAATCTATCCAGAATAACTGGGAAATTTCTTGGATTTTTTCTGCAATACATTGGATGGATTTACAGAGTTTTGCCCCTTTTAATAGTAATTCCAATAGGTAATTGCATCAAAATTGCCATAGTATGCTTTCCCTTCATTGGGTTTTCTTAGATTTTTTATTTCAGTTATTTTGTACTATGTTAGATCACAAAACATTGCTATATAAAGTTGCAATTCATTGATGTTGTGCCTATGTTTTGGCTGAATTATCTGGACTACGGGTAGTTCACTAGTTACCGTACTAGCTATGGCTGATGGCATGCTTTAGGGTATATATTTTGAAAATCTTGCACAAATAGGATTAGGTGTCTTGTTCACTAAAATTTGTTGCATGTAAAAATAGAAATGAATGTTACCTTTGCTTATGAATAATTTTATGAATTCCAACCCTTAGTGAAAGACATCTTGTATTCTTAATGAACATACATTTTCTGTAACATTGATATTTCATAATTCAGATGGTTGAAGCTATTTTGAGGGTTAAATTTAAATTCTTAGATATGACTATATATTGCATGTATATTTTAAGAATTATAAGTACATTAACCAGAGAGGTAAAGTGTTGAGAGTACAACATTTAATTTTATTTTAGCTGCTGACTTGGATGAATATGAGAACGCAGCAGAGATGGCTCGACCTGAGGAGGAACGAATCACTGAAGCTGAGAAGAACATCACACTGCAGAAACAGCTAGAGGTCAGGCTTCCTCAAGTTCCCCCTACCTATATATCCAATATCAGTATTATGAATTTCAAACCACTATTCCCTATTAGAAAACACATGGCAATCATCTTAGACAAATAATGCTTAAGAATTTTACTTTATTTTTGGGGGTCATTGTCAAATGAAACACTTATCATGTGTCTTCTCATTGTAATGATATACTACTAGTAACTTTGAAATTTGAAGGGAGTCAAGGGACTGCTTTTTTTAAAAAGGAAAAAAAATGAAATTTGAAGGGACTGCTTTTTTAAAAAGGAAAAAAATAAATAAAACTTGATTCAGTTGTAAGTTAGGCTTCAGATTGTTGTGGCTGTATATTGAAGAGAAAAAAAAACACAGACTTGATTAAATAAGTTTCAGAGATAATTTTAAAAATTGTTTATCGAAATAATCATGTTCAGCATAAAATATTTATATCATCCAAATTTCAGGCATTACAAAAAGAACTAGAAGAATCCAAAGATGCCCAGAAGGCCACATTGAACGATGTCTTGCATGAACAAAACGTGAAACAAGGGCGTGACAAGTATAAGACACTGAAGCAGATTCGCAGCGGCAATACCAAACACCGGGTGGATCAGTTCGAGGCCTTGTAGAGAAAAACCTGCATAAATAGGAACAAATTATATATTTTACTGACCATATCATGTCTGTTATCCGAGGTTTTACCTGGGCTAGGGGAGTGTGTACAGTATATTATGGTCTCTCAACATAGTGTTATGACAGGTGACACATCAAAGACGGACAAAAAAATTATTTCCAGATTGATTCAACAGATAATTTTGATTACTGCAGACTTAAGGAGGGATTGCTTTTAACCAGAAAGTTGTATCACCACATGAATAATGGGTTGTCTAATGTTTGTCATTCATGTAATTAGTTTAATACAGCATTGTACAGGAGAGCATGGCGTGGCAAAAATACATCACTATTTCCAAGCTTTTTTGTTACAAAGTTTTCATTGTTTATTTTTTCTTCCAATGAATGAGGTTTAAGTGGTTAACTCAGAAACATTGGGGAGGGTGGGATTTAAAGTTAGTAGATTTATTTTGTAAAGTGTAACTTAATGTAACCAGATTGTCTATATTTTTTGTACAATGTAATGCAGTTATGTATCCTCTGATGTTTGTTAGTGACTTAAGTATTCCCAAGTATATTTATTTTTTTCTTTACTAGTTTTGAAATTTTCAGTGTATGCAGAGGTTTTTATATATTATTTGAATATTTGATATCATGGCTGCATTTTTAAGTTAGTCACGGTGATTATTTAATAGGTGGATAATGAGGTTCTCAAATGCAGGAATCCAAAGACTGTCTTCACTTTATAGGTCCAATTCAGATATTGTAGATGTGATATTATATTGACTCTTTGGTGACCGTTTCTGACAGAAAAAAGTAATTTTTAAGTGTCAGGGAATTTCTTTAAAAAAGATTTGAGGAAATTTGTCACTTTTAAGTCAAAAAGGTTAAAAAAAAAAAGCTTGCCAGTTTGTCATCCATATACATGTATTTTGTACTTAGATAAAATTTGGGGCTTATTTCATTCCTGTCTATATATACTGCCATTATGTACGTTTCAAGCTTTGTTTATTGCTATCGCACTAGTTTAACATGAGTTCCATTGCATAGCTGTTCATTAAATGGCGTGGAATTGATACAGGGGAAAGAACATTTCTCTAGGAAATCTTTATATTGTAAGGGGATTGGGTGTTAACCTTAAGAAGGCAGTGGATTGGTGTTTTCATCTTCAGCATTCCAGTCGGTCACTTCATCTATTACTGGTCAAGTGCTGTGGTCTCTGTGTATATAATTCCTGAAGATATGTATTGATATTTATATTTTTTTACTTAGAGGAGCACCTTGCTAGAAAAACTTGTGATACATTCTTGCCTGATATTAAAAAACTTCTTTCCTGAATAATTAATTTCTCTTTTCTAAATGAATCTGTAAATAAATTTCAACAAGGTTAATCGGTAGATACATTTATGATGCATTTCTGTAATTCAGGATACATTTGGTGTATTTAGGCATTAGGAAACATTTTCTTTCTGTACGGAGCAGAGTCGTTTTTTCTTCTCCAGTAATGGTAGGGTTGATTTATTTTTATGAACAAGTGTCCTGTTTAGTAGAACAATCTTCTTGTGATACGTGTAGCACTTGATTGGAAATTGTCTCATACTATCATTTGTCATGATTGAATTGATATATAATCAATATATATATACTGAATAAAATCATCAGACAATGCAAGCATGCTGTTTTCATTTTATGGATTTGATGAAGGTGCTTGAGCCTTTAGGGTAAATATGCAGATAGATCTTCAATGAAGAAGGAGAAAATGCTGTGGTGGAGCAAAAATGGGTCAATTTACTTTGTGGAACACGAAGTGTTCAACTGAAAAATTGTACATGGTGTTTTCTGTCCCATTCAAGAATTTTACACAAATATAGAAATGTCACCATGCACTAATTCAGACTCCAGCTCCAAATGAGAGGGGGTATACTGTTTTACTTGTGTGTGTGTGTGTCTGTCTGTAATAAATTTGGGTCACAGTCTTCTCAACAACTTCTATCTGCAGTGAGGTTCTTTGTCATTTCATCACCTATGGCACTGGACTTTTGTTTTTCAAGTCATATCCAAAAGACCTAAGCACAGTGACTTGTCTCTAAATCCCCATTAAAAAAAGTCACTATAATATGATGTCTTTTTGACACATGAGTGTTGGGAATAGGAATTTATTTGAGCCTATTGTTCATGAGGTGAGGAAAAATACAAATATCAATATTGGTGTATATAAACCTCTTATTTAGGAACAATTGGAAATGAAGACTATGTACAGAAAAGACAAAATATTTGGATATCTAGCACCGTGGACAAGTCTTGCCATATATAGCTTATTGATTATTGCATATACAACTGAATTTTCACTGGAAAATTTATTAAATCTGCAAATTTTCTCTGAAATAAATTAGAAACCTTGGATAAAAAAATGAAAAAAAAATCTTTCCGGAATTATTATATCCCTTCAGATTGGTTTCTACCGTATGTGTTTTCGTTCATTGTAGGATTTCCCGTAATTTTTATTTGAGAAAACAAAGACCATATTTTTGTACTTTTATGGAAAACAAGACATAAAGATGCCAAGTGGACGGCGTATTTTATCCCGTATACAGTCAAATTCGTATAATAGCAGCAGTAAAGGAGGGAATGGGAGGTAATGTTTTAAAAACGTTCACTTAATCGAAGACCTGACGTTTTGACAGAACAGTAGCTTGTAGCCTAGTTGTAATGAACTGGCACATGTTTAGATATTTGACAAAGGAGATTAGTTCTATTCTACAAATAAATGGGACTATCCCATTTATTTGTAGAATAGAACTAAGCTCCTTTGTCAAAATTTATAAATTAGAATTACATGGGGAGGGGGTCTAAAAAAGAAATGTTTACAATTTTTTCTATATAAAGAATTATAATGAATTTGATGAAATCAGGGGAATTAAAAAAATAAGCAGTATGGAATAGTTGATAAGTGGGTTTTTTAAACATGCCATATACATAATGGATGCTTTCACAATATTCTGATAACTTTTACTGCTCTTTTGTGGGCCAAAATGATATATTTTGGTGAAATAGGATCTCAAATCATAATATCATTTATTTAAAAGATGTCATATATCAACAAAAACTCTGACAAATGTTATTAAATTGCCCTGCAGATGAATAGTGCTGCAGTTTCCGTAACAGCCCTACAATGCCAATTACACAATTTCACCTTTTTGCACTTGTTTTTTTTTTTATATTTATAATAATATTTCATGTAAATATCTGTCAAGTAAATTTATATGATATTGGTAAAATCTATATAGAGAGTACATAGGAGTAAAAGAAATTCAAGCATATTAAATACTAATTACAGCAGCTAGATAGATTTTTGCACTTAGTAGTTGAAATATAAATTTCACACCTTGAACTTTCTGCACTAAAGATACAAACAGATTTGTGAAATAAAATATCAAAGCTACATTCTTTTCACATAAATAATTTTAGAATTTTTTTTTTCAGCCATACAGAAGATAGAGATTCAAACATGGTGCCCTTGGCACAGATGGCTGTTCTCCCTAAACACTGCTATCTCCCAGAAATCCCCAGCGACCCCAACATGTCATTTGAGGCCATGTTATATTTCTTTGGAGTGATAGCCATGGGACTTCAGTACATTAATCTGTACCGCACCGTGTGGTGGCTCCCACATAGCCATGCCAATTATGCCCTGGTAAGTTCATTTTCACAGGAAAAAGTAGTCCGAAATATCTTATGTTTTCAAGGCTTTTTCACGATTTTGATATTTTATGTGCCGAGAAAACATAATATATCAAAATCGTAAAAAAGCCTGGAAAATGTCAGATATTTCGTACTAGGGGGAAAGTGGTTAATGACATTAATTTTTTTTATATATTTGAAAAAAAATTAGATTTTCTACTGAATACAGATCTGTGTAATTTTTCTTTTTTATTTTTGTTTACAGAATTTCTATTTGATCGATGTTTATCTCGTACTGTTTTTATGTTTCCTGATGTGCAGAAGAATAGTTTGGTGCTTTGTTCAAGAGGTAACACGTGTACAGTAGAATTATGTTGTATATATCAAGTATTAATCTACAATCTTAATTATTTCTTGGTAAATTTAAGTCATATTTGCAGTAATCAGTTGTCATTGGAATCCATTGTTGAATTAATATCATTCAGTACCAATATAAAGAAAACTTGTGAAAGGTTGATACTTGTGTTTCCCTATTAGTGGTATGGTAACATAATTATGTATATCTTTGTTCTTCTATTGAAACAAAAAGGGAATTGTATGCAAAAATGAAATCAATGATCTTAAATATTTTGCTTTTTAAATTCTCTTTTCAGATATATGGATCTAGGTCCACAAAGAGTGTAGTATATTGGGTTGTTCAGCTAGTTAAAGGGGTACTCTTGTCTGTTAATGCTCTTGGTCTGATCTACACAGTGTACCAGGTCATTACAAACCACTCAGCATTGTACTGTCTGTTTCTCTCCTGTCCGTAAGTATTACTAGTAGTAAATATTTAATTATTATTAACTTGACCTCTGACTCACAAAGTCAAGAGAAAGCAGTATTGACCTATCTTCAAAAAAATTACAGTACTTGGAAATGAGGATATCATTTCATGTGTATTCCCATAAAAATCAATTTATATGTACTTATTTATAGGTACAATTATAATTTTAAAAAATGGTCTTCTTCTTTTTCTAGAGCTATAACGTATGTGTTCCTATTTGGTCCTTCCATAAAACCTTTGTACCATAAAAGTCTGGTGTGGCCTTCACCTGTGTGCGATCGACCACGACACAAAAAGGAGGATGAGGAGGTCGTGTTGTACCATAATTGTGTATTGACCCCTGATGTAATTAGGTCAGAGGTCGACCAATTCAAGTCAGACTTCAATAACAGGATCAAGCAAGTTTTGTTCAATTCCCTCCTTACAGCATACTACATGACTTTTGTGCCACTCTGTTTTGCGCAGGTAAGGAAAAATACCAAAAAAAGTATATTTATACCTGTAACTGCACCCGAATTATCCGTGTGATTGACTAATAGTGAAAATTTCCTGTTATCTGTGATGAATTACAGCACCAATAAAACATTTTCCTGAAAAAAAACTACTAAGTATATCTATGTTTTGGTTTTTAAAACCAGCAGTTTTATATAACGACAGGACTCAAATTTACTGTTTCCCTGTTGGTCTGGGCTAGGTAAAATTTGGATTGTAATAGTACCTGGTACTTAATTGAGTAAAAGTGATTTCATGAATATTAAAATTCATTTACAGTTGGGTTAGTTAACTAGAAAGGTTAGTGTGTCCAAGTTTTATATACTACAAAACGCACACATGATTCCTCTTATCCTTGACCTATTATATATTATAAATACTTATTTGCACAATCTCCAAGTTGCACTTATAGAAATGATAAAGAATCCAGTGTGAAGAAATCATATTTTTTGTAAAAAAAATCGTAAAATAACTATTAAAACTGTACTTTTTAAGCACAAGTTTTGGGTCATTCTTTTCCATATCTGTTAGCCCAATGAGACAGTTACATTTGATCAGCAAAAATTTGTGACCAGTGAAAATTTTAAGCCCTGAATGAGCTAGATGTTAAATGAAAAGTGCTGCATACATCACAGAGAATAGGGAAGCAGTTGTTCACATGATTATCCTACCCTTATATTAATATGTATATATATGTAGCAGATTGACCAAGCTTTTAAGACACCCATGAATGATAAATAGGGATTTGGAATATAAGACTTTTTTAACACTCATGTTTATACTTTTGCTTTTTACATTTTTTTTCTGTAGTAGAACTCTTTAGATTAAAAGGAGTACCACCTCTTTAATATAATCAGTCCCTGTAATAATATTTATTATCAAACAAAGTTAAGAATTAATAAAAATGCACCAGTTTAATGAGTTTATAAAGCTGGCTACATGCTTTTGATACATTACATTGTCAAAGAATATTTAGTACAATTCAATTTTTCAATCACAGAATCAGCTTAACAACCCTGAGGTAACTTCTCATTTCAAAAATTCATTTCTCTTTTAAAAAAAAAAAAGGAGGAAGGTTTTTTCTTAAATTAAAATCATCAGTTTCAAATTCAGCAATTTTTATTAATCTCTGGCCAAATGCACACTAAACTATTCTTGGGTCCGCATTTTTTGCTATACATTGTGAAACTTAATGGAGTCTGGTATAAATGCTGAACAGGTCAATTTGATATAGCATGAAACATTTATATTTATCAAACTGGAAAGAACTTTGTCCTTTTCTATTACATAGCATGAAACAGATTTATGCCTTTATTTACTAATTTCGAGCATGCATATTTCTAAGATGTACTATATACATAGTATTGTTTTGATAGCTTATGCCTTTAAACCTGCCAACAAATATCTTGATTTAAAGTTCATCACATAAAAGTGATTTCATCTGGTTTGAAAGACATACACATGTACTTGATATTTAGAATCTATTTATGAGTAGTTAATAAACAGAAAACATAAGGAATAGCTATATAGAAATGGTGTATTTTGTATTTACAACCTTTACCTTTTAGATAGAACATTGAATTATATTTTAGGATAAATCATCTTTCTCTCTCATGTGATACTAGTATATGTTTGCTGGTAAAGTTGAAAAAAAAAATGCTTATATTTGTTAATTTGAATGCTTATTTAATTAATTAATACTTTGAAGCAAAATCAATGAGGATCATATTAATTAGTTTAAGAATTTTGCTGTATAAATGATAAAGGTTTTAGAAAAAATATGTAAGGAGAATGTTGTTTTATTTTAAAAAAAAAAAATTAAATATAGATCATTAAGAGATTTAGAGAATTTGAATACTTCAGTAACAAGATGATTCTAAAAGGTTACCATTCTTTAGGTATTAGACATGAGATTATAAACTTTAATGTAGAATGACCATGTGTTGATCTCGTTTGCTCTAGCATGTACAAAACACGTGTGACTCGTGTTGGGTGAGTGGTTCTCTGCATAAGTCATGTCGTCTACTTTCATTTTTACAGATTTTATTTTTTAAAAACTTTATATTATTTGTCTTTTTAGAAATATTAAAATATTTTTCATTATTTATTTTAATGTTGCTTTATATTTATAGCCCTTTTTTTCTCTTTTATGCATAAAGTAAAGTTATATTTTTTGTTAAAACTCATTTACCAGAGTTTCTAGAACTGCATGCATTACCGGTATTGATTAAGCATAAGAATACCAGTACATTGTACACATATATATGTGTAGATCATTTACTTTAATTTAAAACTTTTTTTTGTTTCAACTCTCTGAACCTTATGGTATCTTTTCTGTGTTTATCTTCATATGTTGTAAAGCTTTTTAATAAGAAGAGACTGTAGGCATTTCTGTGCGTTAGTCAAAAAGATTCTTTTTAAGTATGTTACATGTAATATTAAGAGGTTTTTGATTAAGTTCCAGACTAAAATTTAAAATAAGGACATTATTAAAATAGAAAATTAATCAGTTATAAGAGTGTACAGTTTTTGCATACAGGGTCAAATATTTTGATACCATCTAATGTCTTTGTCAATGTATGCGTATATTTTTAAAAATACAAATTACGCCACAGTCAAACTCATTAAACATACTTGTTTTTGCAGATTACTGTAATTCTCAGTGATATACAAAATTATACATTTGTAATATTGCTATTTTCAGAACACTTTGTACTACGACACATGGTGGGTGGGTCAACACGTGGTGGTCACATGGCTGTCTGCGTTTCTGATGCTGATAGTACATTACCTGCCCCCTAAGTATCTGGATCTCTTACACAGGACAGCCCTTCATTTGGGTCGCTGGCAGAAAGTGGAGGGGAGACACGCCCATGTACCATATAATGCGTAGGTTTATTATGACTTAGGGAGACCATAAATTGGGGTGATCGGTTAAATGATAGTGGAAGCTAAACTCGTTTCACTTATTTTGGTTAAACTGGCTTGATTACTTCATCAATTGATAACTGATATATATACAGTAAAACTTCTCTAAACCGGCCAGCTGCCGGACCGAATAAAATGGCCGGACTAGAGGGGTGGCCGGTTTCCCGAGAATCTAACATACTGAAGAATTGCAGAACTAATATGTGACAGATGCTAGGAAAAATACATAACTGGTGTCTGTTATAATTATCTGTCAACATGTTATTAATTATCGGCAGACAGGTAATGTATTCTTAAGGTCTAAAAAATAAATTATTATTAGTGAGGATAAATTCAATATATTAATTCAAGTTTAAATTTTGTTAATCATAATTATGTACACAACTGTTAATCATAATTATGTACACAACTTAGACCGGCCATTTACGTAGTCGGGCAAGATGACTACCCCTTCAAGACGGTTAAACGATAGAAAACCCTATGAGGCCATATTCAATTTTTCACACCTCTGACTTCTGGTGGGTAGGCTATTTTTCACACCTCCGGTCGATCATTATAACCCCCCCGGCCAATGCCAGTTAATTTCTTGCAATCAAAAAGTGGCCGGTATAATGAGGGGAAATTTCCTATGTTTCTTAACTTTTGTTCTTGGAAAAGTGGCCGATGTCCGGTTTTCAGGGGTGGCCGGTTTTATGAGAGTTTATGTGTAAAGAAATGTTAAGAATTTTGCCGGGACTTATAAATTTGGCCGATGTTCAGGGAGAACCGGTTTCCAGGGGGGCCGGTTTGGAGAAGTTTCACTGTATATCATTTGTGTGTGTCAATTATTTATTTAACTGGATGCCTTTATTCTACTCTCATCTTTCAACTCCATGCGTACTTAATCAAGATGGAGGCTTTTTAAATTGTGAGGCTGTATATATTCTTATTTCAGGTGGTCAGAGTTAACAGTTTGGCCACAAGGTGCTCTAGTCAAACATGTTAAGGGGTTGTTTAAAGCCGAGGGAATCAATGTTACAGCAGAGCCCGGCAATGGAATGCATGGGAGATTTTATGTAAGTATCAACATCTGTTTTTGCAGAATTTTTCATCACTTAAACCAATATGAAAGTTAAACTGTTTAGAATTCAAAAAAAAAAAAAGAAAAAGTCCTCGATCCTTCAAGAGTCTTTAGAATAAAAATATCAAACTGTCTTAACTTTTCATTTCATGTTTTCTTTTCTTTTCAGTTTCTTTTTCATCAGCCAATGAGAGTGGTAAACTGGTTACTAATTTTAACATGGCTCCTGGTGGGGTACCAGTTTTTCTGTCTCCTACAAAGCACAGAATGGAATCATATTGTCTGCATAGCTCTTGTTTTATTTTGTAATTATTATACTCTGTTCAAGCTTTTAAGGGACAGAATTATTTTAGCCAAAGCTTATAAAGAGGAAATATCTGAGGAAGAGAAGTGACATTTTACCATGACTTTACATGACAAAACACTTTAAAAGTATTTGTATTTATTTATTGAAGCAGACCATGCCAAAATGACACCAAAAGTGTGAGTTTTTTTTTTGAACTGACAACTTCTATATACCAAGGGTAATGCACTTTTTCTGCATACTCAATGAACATATGTAGTCCATCTTCAATGTGCATGGGATGGTTAATTAACTTATTTTTGTTGTACAAGATGTAAAATAACAATTCATGCTGAGCATGTCTTAAATGAGTATTTTACATAGATAAATATATTTGCAGCATTGAATCTTCTTGTGTATTTTTTTTTAATCTTCAAGAGAGGATATAAATTACAGATGTTATAAGCACAGGCACCTGATGTTACTTATTTTTCTTATACATATATATATATATAAAAAATAACCCCATACCTAACCTAAAAAAATTCAAGGCAGTGTTGATGTTTGCCTTGCGTATTATTTGGTATGGTTTTTTTTTTTTTTAATTCATGAAAAATAAGCAACGTCTGCAGGTGCCTGGAGTTTAAGGTCACTTTCTATTTCTGATTAAGCTCAGCTCCATACTGTACATAAAGCTAAGTCTCCTGAACTAAATTTATTTAAAAGTCTGAAAAGGGGGATTGTCATGGATACCATGTAAACCATTCATAGTAACTGTTATTTAAATGCTTGTCAAAAGAACCACAGAAGTTGCAATTGCCACTCTGTTTTTTTTAAAATCCTTTGTGTGCATTTTTATGACATTGACAATAAAGATGTATGTTAAAATAAATTTATTGAGGAAAAAAAGAAAGAAAATTCAATGAGTTAGACAAGTTTTCATCACAGGTATTGCTGTTTTGGGTAACTGACACACACACTGGACAGCATCATGTAAAGTCTCTGTTTTATATATGAAGCAGATCTGTGCACACATTAAGATCCTTTTGTTTATGCAGATGAGTGGCCCCAACAAGATGGGATGTTCAATTTTCTGGCTGGACTGGTAATGTTAAAGTAAGAATCTGTAAGGAAAAAACAGGAACTATTAGACTGAACCATCCAGTGTCAATACTGTAAACCAACTTTTATTTGTGTGTGAGAAATTTTCGCAAGCCTCGTTATCATGAATATTTTTTGCCATAAACCAGTTCTTAAAGTCTCTGAGTCTATTAACAACAGATCCAGAAAAAGGGTTGATCGTGAAAATTAATTGTTGCGAACTAGTTTACCCCTGGTAAACCACAAAATAAAGTCGTTGCAGATAAAGTTTGTTTACAGTATTTCGGACAACATCATAGATTTTCAAACCATTAAATATTAAGTTTATGTTTGGATCTGAAACCTATTTTAATATCAATGTCTCCATAAATGAAGTACCAAATGCAGGCATGGACACAATTGGTGCATACCATTACCAAGATACACAAGAATAAGCTGCAAAATTAATCGTTCTTCCTGTTATAAGATTTCTTTCCACAATTATTTTGAACATTAAAACCTTTGATTTATTCTGCAAGGTACTAAACATATTGATATTCTAGGATTGTGACTGAGATGTAGTAAACACCTGATTTTTTCACAGAGACAGAAATCAACATTTCTGGCATGTTTTCCCAACCTCAATAGTCTTGGAATTTTGTTTTGCAATTATCTTAATCTTGCTTTAAAAACGAATTTAATTTCTCTAGTTATACAACTGACTTAAAGTGGACTTGAGCTTATCCTTGTGTTACAGTCAACTTGAACTTACCCTTCTGTTACAGTCAACTTGAACTTACCCTTCTGTTACAGTCAACTTGAACTTACTCTTGTGTTACAGTACACTTTAACTTACTCTTGTTTTACAGTATACTTGAACTTACCCTTGTGTTACAGTCAACTTGAACTTACACTTGTATTACAGTAAACTTGAACTTGCTCTTGTGTTACAGTAGATTTGAACTTACCCTGTTGAAAGAGGACTTGATCTTACCCTTTTGTTATAAAAGACTTGAACTTACCCCTGTTTTTCGGTTGAACTGAGCCACACAGTCCTCCTGTACCAGAAGATAAACTTTACCTTGTTTTACAGTACACTTGAACTTATCCTTGTTTTACAGTACTCTTGAACATATCCTTGTTTTACAGTACACTTGAACTTATCCTTGTTTTACAGTACACTTGAACATATCCTTGTTTTAGAGTACACTTAAACTTACCCTTGTTTTACAGTACACTTGAACTTACCCTTGTTTTACAGTACACTTGAACTTATCCTTATTTTACAGTACACTTGAACTTACCCTTGTTTTTCGGTTGAACTGAGCCACACAGTCCTCCTGTACCAGTAGATAAGGCAAGTAAATGTCTAGGTAGTACTTATTGGATCTTGTCTCCAGGACCAGTCTGTCCTCTCCCACGTCAATGGTTAACGTGTTGGCCATTTTCTGTCAAGGGTTCAAAATAAATTACATGGGTATTTCTAACAAAAGTGCCAGATACATGATGATGTCAATTCAAAATACATTGATTTTTAAGGCAATGGGAATGAAAATCACTGTTTTTAGCATCAATTCATTTTAAGCATGTTTGCTATAAGCATGTTTTACGGTAATTTACTAGTATGCACATGAAAAATAACAATACACATACTTGCACATTATACATGAACACAAAAAAGAACATGTACAAATATTTACCACATGTGGAAGACTGATTTCTGCCACTAAGAAATCTGGGTGACCTTCTGGTGGATCCTGTATAATCCGGAATTCTGGTTTCTGACCTCTGTCAATCACAGAGAAAAGCATACATTTGAGTAAGTGTAAACAGATAGCTCTTTGAAAACTAGAGGTACTGTGAGCAATAAGGTCACTAAATGATACCCCCGCCTCCCATATGAATATAATGGCAGTGTCCATGTTTTGTTATGGGAAACCCAAAATATGTGTCTGATCGAAAAGTAAAATAGGAGGTGCACAATGACAAAATGTAATAAGGATTCTGTGAAAGTTCCATCAAATTTCATTCAGTCATATGAGAGGACTGACTTCTACTAGAATTTGCTTGCACCAAACCAAAACTAGAACTGTCCAATAGGGACAAATACCCCCCGCTGGGTTTTTCAGAGAAGGTGCCAATTCACAAATACTGTATGGATCTAGAGGTGTTCACAATTTACTTACAAAAATTTGCAGTGAAATATAATTGCTCACTATGTTTCTTAATGAATGAAACAAAGGTGCAACCAAATGAAACATTAACACTAATACATTGTAATTCCATTGTAACACATTTTTTTTTTATTTCTGCATTAAAAAAATATATTGTAATTATGTTTCATGACACTCTGCAAACTGATTGTTGAAAAAAAATCATATTATACAAAATCAAAATTAATCATGATAACTTTATATCAAATTCATTTTGAAAATAAAGAGCTGGTTATCCAGTAATGAAGTGCTTTGACAGACAATAAATTACAATTAAGAGAATAAGAGAAGAGAGATATTTAATTCTTGTGCCAATTCCCAGGAGATAATTGATAAAACATTGTAGATAAGAGACGTCTTAACAACTTCCCACACCAAACTCATTAATTTATCTTTAACTGGATGCATGTCCAGTCATTATTCCCAAGAGACAAATGAAATCGCATTATCTTCTGTGTATTGTAAAAACTGTTTTTAACACTTGATGATGTTTCTTTTTTTTCTTTTTTTTAATTTTAATGAGTAGTTTTAAGCTGTAGTTCCCATTTTTATACAGATATTCTAGATTCTATGTCTCAAACCTTATACATGAGCCCAAAATGAACAAGACAATTAAAATAAAAAATAAAACCTGTAAAATGCAGAAAAATGAACAAATAAAGTTGAAAATTCCAGGTGCACACCTTCATATGGTGAATGATAAGTGTTCAAATTTTCAGATAAATCCTCACAATAGTTTCTGAGAAACGGTCTGCACAAAACCAAAAAATAAAAATGAAAAAACACCTGTAAAATTCAAAATAATCATCTAATCAAGATGAAAATATCAGGTGCACACCATCACATGGTAAATAATATGTGTACAAATTTTCAAACAAATCCTTTCAATAGTTTCTGAGTAATGGTCCGGACAAAATCTCGTCTACAGACAGACGGACAGACGAACATGGTGATTCCAACATACCTCCCCCCCCTAAACTTCGTTTGCGGGTGGTATAACTATGTGTGTTGAGATTCAGTTGACTATGGATAGTATTATCTGTGTGATTTCAAACTACATGTAGGCAGATTTTAATATTTTGGGTGATTAACAAGTAAAAGAGATACATGTCGATAAGAAGAATTTATAATTTGATATCCATTTTGATACCGTAAAGTAATCCATTGTTACCTGGCTTTGAGTTCTTCTTGAGATAGAGGCTTAGGTGTATCCATTTCTTGAATTAATGGCTTTCCAATTCCAATTCCAGTTGACTGGCTGTAACAAAAACAAAGGCACAAAATTAGACTTAATCAACTCTCACAGGGAGGTAGAAAGCACCTGTTAGCAAGCACCTGTCTTACAACGTGCAAGACATGGTTTGCTTTAGTAGCAATAACTTTATTGTGGATTCTCTGCATTGACAAGTTCAGTATTCTATGAGATAGATAATGTCCCTTACTCTCCCATTTCCATGATGACCGGTTTAGACTGTGTCCTGACATTCTGTTCCTGGAGTCTCCCTACACTTTTCCTGTTCTTTAGGATTACCCAATCTAAACAAAGAATATAAGAAATAATACAGTCTCAAGTGAACAATATCGTATGGACTAGCAAATTCCTTAGAATTAGTACTGTAATACTCGTAGTATTTTGATTGCTTTTATATGTGCTATAAGAATTTATGTACAAGAAATTATTTGATTTACTCACTGATCTTATCAAAAGAGGTATGAATATTATTATGATTTATACATAATCCCTTCGTACAGATAAAATATAGATTTTCCATTCTAAACCTTTAAATATGATACCCACTTCTGGACAACACTATGGAATATTTTACTTCCAGGCATTTAGACATAATACTAACCTCTGGACAACGCTACAGAGTATTTTTCCTCCAGGCCCTCCAAAGTCACAGACAAGAAGAAAGTTTTAAAGATTTCACTGTCCTTCATCTTCTCCATAAAGCCTGGGTGTATCACAACATCATATGCTATACAACCTTGTCCACCTGAAATGGATCAAATTTAATGGTGGATAAAAAATTTCCAATTTAAGAAAAGTGAATCAAACATCTTTTTTTTAATTGTAGGGTTTTAAAAAACTCAGTATCTTCCAGTTTTAGTATCATTTCCTTACAGTTGAAAGTATTTAATAAGCTTTATTAAAAAAAATCAAAACTTAAAACTTTGTCAATTCTGGAATGACACAGAGCATGCTAACTTTTATCTATCTCTGCATGTGGTTCCCCGATACTCATTGGAACTCGGAATCCAAATGGATCCTCAGATTCCAACAACTTCAGCAATTCTTCTTCAGTAATGTCCTTTGGTTGGGGTACCTATAATTAAAGACAAATTGCAGGTGCACTTGAAATTTTATATGTTGGATACGGTTATATCAATCACAATGAATATCCTGATAGTGGTTGTTTATATGTAATTATTTTTCATATTTCTATGTCCATATCTCTTGCCATCGATTGTTAATACACACATATTCAAAATCTTGTTAATTAAATCCACATGAACATCTAATTAACATGTAGAATATTCAAGGTTAGCATTTAATGAAAGGGAATTTCTTTAATGTATCAAAATTGATTTCAAAATCAAAATGGATTAACTTCAACATGTTCAAATTACCGTATTTTAATAATTTGTTTACTAGTAGAGAATATGAGCATATTTCCACTTACATTTTCTGCTTGGCAGACATTGATAAAAACCTTTTCACCATTTTCCTTCTTTGTTTTCAAGCAGAAACCTGGAAAGCATGGAAAAATGTTGCTATCAAATTAACTAAATTAAGTCATCACAATTTCACTTATCATTACAATATAATCTTCCATTTTAACATTCACATGGATAGAAATCTTTACCTGGTTTAGGTACAACAGTTGTCCAGGAGACCTTTTTATCAGGATCAGCACCTACTCCATCCTGCAATCCCTATATAAGGAAAAAAAATCTGTTTACAAGATCAGATCAACTATTATTTCACCTATAGAAATATAAACAAAACATGAGTTAAAAAGAAATTGGTGTATTTTCTATTGAAACCTATCTTAACTTACTGATTGCAGAATTAGCTTCTTCATCAAAGCTTCCGTTTCATCTGTGTCTGGTTCCAACATGTTGATAAGCAATTACAGGAAATCACCAAACATTCCTAGTGGTTTAATTGGTTTTTATTTGTAGCATCTAGTCTAAAATAAAATGAGACCTCTCAATAAATAAATGCAGAAAAGGAAGTGGGATAAAAGTATATGTAAATAGCCCATAATTTTGACTGAATATAACATTGACTGGGGTATTAAGGTCAGATGACACGTTCCTCAAATATATGTTTTGTATTTCCTAATATCATATCAAAAATTATTCATAATTGGCTTCCTGTTGTGATTTCTACATTGTTTTCAATATGATTTTAAATATAAGTAAAACAAAAATTGTGAAAGGGATCATTCAGAAGATTACTCATAAGGTTTATTTAAGAAATATCCCCCCTCTGGTATCTAAATGCCTGGTAAAGTACCTCAATTTTTTGTGAGGAAGCTTCTTTAAGTACCTTTACTTTAATGACAATTCTTGGGGGAAAATTCAAAATTATATATTTTTGAGGAATGTGTCGTCTGACCTTAAGATGTAAAAATAAAAATATGATACATTAAACATGACTGGTTCATATAAACATGATAAATGCAGTTTGAATACATTATTATTTGTCACATCACCAAAAAGTTGAAGTTAAAAATACACTTTTCATAAAGGTTTGTTGTTCGGTTACTGTTTATGTCTTTTTTCAGTCAAATTTAATATGAAACAGATGTGTCAGACTCCATGGTATCTTTTATGTCAAGTTCTCTAAGTTATAATGAGTCAATTTATGCACGGAAGTTATATACCTAATATACTAATTGACAATATATCTAACTATTGGGTTAAAGCCTCTAGCAAGTTTTTTCTTCATATGATTGTGAAAAAAATCTTTTAAATACATGTATATGAATATTAAAATATAGGAAAGCTAATAACAGGGAGTAACTCATTTTTTTATTGGTACAAATCTGACAGAAACTGAGAAAGTTGAAAAACAAAATTAAAAAAAAACCCTACATATTAGGCCTATCATATTGATACTGTCCATCAGAAACTAATTAGAGATTTTTAACAAAAAAAATGTGGAAATGACCAGTAACAAGGCAAATAAACTTACGAGTTTTAATTTAAGAATTATTTTAAAATCTTTCAGTTTTATTTTTTATATGCATATATATGGACTATCGTTTTGCCAACAGAATTTCTATAGTATTAGTTTAGTATAAACTATTTTAATCCCGTGAAACATTAATTATAATATTATAAATGTAATCCATTATTCATTATTATACACCAAAAACATTCCAAATACCCGAAATATTCACTAGAGACTCGAACTGTCAAAACATGTTATGAATCCATGGACGCTGCCATCTTGATAAAGTCTAAAAGTTAAATCTGTCCCGGTAAAAATTCCGGGGTAAAAATAGCCTAGTCGATTCTTCGACTCCTTCGCAGATTATAAAAAAGCGTAAACTGTTCCAACCCAGTTTATACCGTATAAAATGGGTAGCTATTAAATTCATTGCTTATAATTTAATTTTCATTCATTTGATGTAAGAAAAAAAAGATGATTGTTCTAACAAAAGGACTTTAATTTGTACAAAATTTGAATGTAACGTCAGGCGGATTGATACGTTTTTGACGCAAGTCATTGTGACGTAGGCAGCCCATTTTATACGATATAAAGTATATTTTTTATCCAATCAAATACAGCGTTACAACCAAAATTAAGGATATGCGATCCTCAGCCAGGAAGGATAACTCTTTAATTTATAATTTAATTCAAAAAGTCTTAAAATAAAGCTTGAAATTGGAATTTTTTCATGCACCAATTTTCATTTTATGCCTCTACGTATGATTCAATGTTCTTTAAAGTTTTAACAAACGGTATTTAAAAAGTTGAAATTTGTACCTCACAAAATGAAGTAAAACTTGCCAATTTTAAAAAAAATCAAATTTCTTTTAATTAGCCATAGTTACCAATGTTTATATGCATGATTTGAAATTAGAATTGATTTACGGTTTTTTTTTTTTTTTGAAAGGAAACACTTCATACACTATGCATTATGAAACAATGGAAGTAAGTAGGAGAAAGTAAAGTCCAAATAAGTGTAAAATTAATGCAATTTTCTTTAAAAGCCTGGATACCTATGATTTTTATTCGTAAAATGTATTTCTTGATTAATTATCAATTAAAAAATATGCAGTAGGTAGTTCAAATCGCATTTCCTGAAAAATTATTCGAGATTTACTAATTCTCCCTATATAATATGATTAAATTTAAAGATGAATTTTAAAGAAACGCCGTGGGTAAATACATTTTAATTTGAAAATTTAGAGACATCTTTGTGAGCATGTTCAATTACTCGATGCCTGATTTTCAGAACCTGAGGATCGGATAACCTTAAATTATATAAAAATAAAATATTTTTTTGTTCTTTTTCTAGATTTTCTAGAGAACCCTTCATTTTTCAACCAAATTCAATTTGTTATACTAGTCACTAAGGTAAGATAACACTATTTATTTTTCTTATGATTATACGCACGATTGTTAAAGCCTCTATTAATTCATAATTTCAAGCTTGTAAATGAAATATATGGAGATAGCGAATATTATTCAAGACCAAAAGTCCTGAAACAATACAAAATAGGAGCAAAGCTGCTAAGCAAAGACGCACCTCCAAAACATCAGAGGTGGGATAGGTTGCCATGGAGGAGTGAGCATCCCCTGTCGATCGACCACAAAGTAATACAAAATAGGAGAAGAGCAAAACACGGACCTCCTAAACATCAGAGTTGGGATCAGGTGCCATGGGTGAGTGAGCCCCCATATATTACTTGCAAGTATGTTTAAAATGGTTGCTCATTTAAAGAGGAAAAATCACTATATGTACTTTGCCCTACAAGATTGTGTCTGAGGGGAATAACTCCCAGGCAAATTATGCCATAGGAAAACGGTCTATAAGTGATAATATTTTCCTTGAAAGAAAGAGGGCGTACATGGCGAGGACAATCACCAGCTTTGAGACAATATTTTCAAATCTCAATTTTCAAAGTTCACAGAAACATAATTTACCGGGGAAGGGGGGAGTAAATATATATATTTTTTAAAAACACTTTTGTTTTATTTATTTTATTGAACAACAATATATTTCTACAGTTTACAGCTTAAATGTACGTATGGATTCCATAACGACAGCCAACCGCTTACTACCAACTGCTCACTGCTTACTACCAACTGCTCACTGCTTACTACCAACTGCTATACATTTATTATATTCGAATAAATTTTCATATTTATATACTAGTATTGCTTACTGTCAACTGACACTGCTCATAGATTATATTAACTGTTTTGATATTTACATTAGGCATAGTGTACACAGTTATATGTTATAACTTTCAATAATATTTCTAGTATAAATACATATACCAACAAATGATACTCAAGACCATTCTAAAGGTTTGTTCTTTTGTCGTATGCGACCCCCCTTTTTCCCGCGTCCAAAAAAGTTAACAAATTATTTGCCTGGAACGAAATGCAGAAATTAAATGTGTTGTTTTTAAAAGGATTTACTCCTTTCTCGCCATAACAGTTCAAAAATTCATAATACTCTAAATTTTGTTATTATTGCGAGAATTTCGCACACTAACTCTCGATTCTCGCCCACATTTTCCATCCATTTAATTCGATATAAATGGCAATTTGGATATTAAAACTAGTTTGAATGCAAAGAAAAGTTCATTAGTATTAAGTACTTATTTTAACAAGAGGCCCATGGGCCTTTTAAGTAACCTGAGCATCATGCAACAACTTTCAAATGATTGAATTTGGTTCATGTTTAAAGCCAGATGCTATGGCATTCACAATTTTGAAAGAGGCACCATTGATTATCATAACTATACACTTAGCAATTGCTTAGTTTGTTTACTTAATACCCATAAGCAGGGTAGGGGAACAAAAATGCATGTCAACTAATCAGCAATATTCAGCAATAATCAGGAGTTCCCTTACCACACATGAACCCCTGACCCTAGGTCTACACATTGCACAACTTTTGAAAAGGCACACTTGCTTATCAAAAATGTTCAATTAATACCAAGGAGCAGCTTTCAAACAATTCATTTTCAGTATATAGAAGTAGAGCCCCCCCCCCCCCGTCTTTGGTATCCCTGACCCAGGGGCCTTGAAATTTACAATTCTGAAAGAAGAGCCCTTGCACATCATAACTATATAAATACTTCATCTGCTTATTACCCAGGAGTAGAGAAAAAGATTTTCAAAGATGTAATGTATTATCACCATATAATCATGATAGAGCCACACCCTAACACCATAATCCCTGACCCTGGGGCCATAAAATTCACAATTTTGGTAGAAGCATTCTTACTCATCATAACTATGTCCTTAATTAGTTTATTTAATACCTAGGGGTAGAGAAGAAGCTTTTCAAAGATTTAATGCATTTTCACTATATAATCAATAGAGCCCCACCCTAACACCATAACCCCTGACCCTGGGGCCATAAAATTCACAATTTTAGTACATGTAGAAGCACTCTTGCTCATCATAACTATGCACTTAGTTAGTTTATTTAATACCTAGGAGCAGAGAAGAAGATTTTCAAAGATTTAATGCATTTTCACTATATAATCAATAGAGCCCCACCCTAACACCAGAACCCCTGACTCTGGGGCCATAAAATTCAAAATTTTGGTAGAGGCCTTCTTGCTCATCATAACTATGTACTTGATTAGTTTATTTAATACTCAGGAACAGAGAAGATTTTCAAAGAAATAATGCATTTTCACTATATAATCAATAGAGCCCTGCCCTAACACCAGAACCCCTGACCCTGGGGCCATAAAATTCACAATTTTGGTAGACGCACTCTTGCTCATCATAACTATGTACTTAATTAGTTTATTTAATACTCTGGAACAGAGAAGAAGATTTTCAAAGAAATAATGCATTTTCACTATATAATCAATAGAGCCCCGCCCTAACACCAGAACCCCTGACCCTGGGGCCATGAATTTCACAAGTTTGGTAGAGGACTCATTGCTGATTACAATCATACCAACAGTTTGACTGCTTGATGTCCAGGAGTAAAGAAGAAGATTTTTAAAGATTGCACTAATTTTAGTGGTTTTGGCCCCACCCCCTAGGCCCCAGGGGGGGGCAGGGACCAAGAAATTCACAATTTTTGTTCTCCTTCACCCATAGATGTTATATGCCAAATTTGGTTGAAATTGGTTGAGTTGTTTCAGAGAAGAAGCTGAAAATATTCAAATGTTAACGCACGACGAACGACGGACGACGACGGACGAAAACGGATAGAAATAGGTCACCTGAGTTTACTCAGGTGACCTAAAAATCAGTGACAAGCACTATCCACAGATAAAACTCACAGTCTCCAAATTCTCCTGTTTAGAAAATTGAAATTGTACTTCACTACATATTGAGTGAATTGTGTTGATTGTAACTAATATTCCGTACCATACCTGGCTATTTAAATATGTAGGGGTAACAACTCAATATAGCGCACAGGCAACTGACGTTACTTATTTTTCTTTTAATAAAAAACAAATGTACCCATACCTATTAGGTATGGGTACATTTTTTAAATTAAATTTAAAAGAAAAATAAGTAACGTCAGGTGCCTGTGATATAGCGGTAATGATCGGTCGAAAAAAAAAATGTAGCGGTATTAAGTTAGTTAGCATTTGACCTAGTCATAGATTGTACTTCATGATAAAGTCAGAATTGTATCAACCATAAATCTTGCAAAATGATGACTTCATACGAGACTGTTGATATCTTTGTTTCATCAACTTCTTGGTTAATAGCTTTTTAAAAATTGATTGTACGTAGATCATGCTCTTAAGTATCGAAGCAACTGGGAAATATAAACCCAATATGCAGGCGATTTGGGTATAATATTGCTATACATAGGAGAAATTGCAATTGAAGATTGAAAAGTCGACGCCATCAGACCATTAATTAAGTCTTGCTATTTTGTAACAAAATATGAAACAAATGTATTAGACTCAGTGGTATCTTTTATTTGTTCAATGGTATACCTGGAACTGATATATAGACGGAAGCAACCATTGCTTACTGATAATTCGTAAAAGTTGAAGGCCACAGCAAGTGTTCTTTAATTCTTTATATATAAATATAGAAAATGAATAAATTCTGCTTCATATGAATACAAAAATAAGTCTGACAATAAGGGGATGTAATTGATACTCATCGGAATTCAAAAAGATTGTTAGAAGAGGCATGTACGATCTCTAAAACTACATAAATGTTGTCGATCAAAAACTCAAGCATCTTTTTAATATCGATTTCAGAACATTTTTGTGTACGTACAATCAGAATTTATTTTGAAACAAAATGTACAAATGACTGATGATAGGGTAAGCATATTCACGAGGTCCATTTTTTATTGAAACAGACACTTGTTTTAATTATGTCAAAAAACCAAGACTTTAATTTATCGCGGGCATTGCTATATATACTTGTTTAATACGGTTGAGAAGGTATGAATATAGATGTACACGTAATCGATTTTCGTAAAACCTAAAAAAACAATCCTCCATTCTTTATTTTTAAACGAATATCGAATGAAAATCGCATAGATTGATTTATACCAGGATGTAAAATACTAGTACCACATAAAACGAAATGAAATCCACTCCAACAATCCTGTAGGATTCACATGTACTTAGTTTACATTTGCTATCTATAAGTATGTTGTTGAATAGAGGATATCCAGTTGAGCAACGATTTCAAATACAGTAGGTCTTTGTTTGGGGTTAGGATTCAAACAAGCTCGAATTAAGTTCTCCACACCTCCCCCTTTCCCTTTAGAGATCTTCTTTTCAAAACGTCTTTCAAGATCAATACGTTCACCATTAATCAACTCCCATAATGTAAGTCCGAGTGAATAAATATCTGAAGCTTTTGTATGTGGAAAGATGGAGGAATCTCTAAGTTCTGGAGCCAGGTATATCAAGGTTCCTCGACCACGAATTGTCTGCACACTATCAATATGCTTTGAATGTCCTACGTCACAGATCACGACATTATCGTCATCATCAACCTAAAAGAATTCCGTATTCAATCAAATGTCTTAATCAATGAGTTACAAAAAATAATACTGATATCACATAAATATGCTTTTAAATACCAGTATCTGAATTGAAAAATCTAGACCATCCTGGAGATTTCTGTTAAAATGCCAAATAACAATAAAACACACTAATAACGAAATTCTAGGAAAAGTATACGTGTCAAAAATCAGTCCGCATGCAATACCCGGTACGTCTGGATACATTATATAATTGTTTGATGTGATTGTTTGAAATACATGTACGGTTAATCCTTAAAAGAATGAAAAAGCTAAATAAATCAAAGGAAATAAAGAAATTCTTTACCAAATAGTTGGAGAGTTTAACATCTCTGTGTATAACTTGATGTTTGTGTAGAAACCGGAGGCCTCGCGCAGCTGCTTTGGCGTATTTGATTCGTCTCTTCTGATCAGTACATTGAAGTACGTCTACAAGGCTACCCTTATATCTCTTCATAACAAGCTGTAAATGATAATGACCCTTTTCAACGTGACCAGCAGAACCTTCATATTGTACAAAGAAGGGGTGGTCTTCATCTGCTTTCTTCAACGACAAATGCCTAATAATGAAACAAAGAAATGTCTAATAATGAAACAAAGCAAATGGCTTATAGAGAAACTAAGCAAATGTCTAATAATGAAACAAATCACATGTTTAATAATGAAACACAGCAAATGTCTAAATATAGTGAAACAAAGCAAATGTCTATCAATAAAACAAAGCACATGTCTTTAAAAGAAACAAAGCAAATGTCTAACAATGAAACAAAGCAAACGTCTTGGAATGAAACAAAGCAAACGGCTAAAAATAAAACAAAGCAGATGTCTAATAATGAAACAAAGACATTTTGAATAAAATCTACGTCATAAATGCTTGCACATCAATCATATAATGTCTTTTAATTTAGTAAAATTAAATAAAGAGAAGCAAGAGAATTTCAATATTTTTAAGAAAACATGAAATAATGTAGATAAGAAATGATATTTAAATATTGCTTAAACTTAAAATTAATTTAAGAATTTGGACATATACCCACTTTAATAAATATCTTTCTCGAAATATTGAAGAGTCGCAGGGTAGAGATGTTTTATAGTCCCCCTTTTCCTTAGTCGAATCTTCTGCAGGCGTTTCTCGGAGTTGCATTTGAATTTCCTTCACAGCGTGTGTTTCATTTTTTCGCGCCTTTATCGTAGCATTATAAACATTAACTTTTTGATTATGATGTCCTATCCCTTGGTCATAGTGTACTTCTATCTCATCTGAGGAAAATTCATGCTGCATAATGGAACCAACATAGACGTCCCAAAGACTTTTGGCGATCTCATTAAATCTCTCACAGACGGACGAGCGATCTGTGTTTCCCTTTAATGAAGGATATTTTTTGTTTTGGTTTAAAATATTAACAAGTTCAATCCTATGTCTATTCATTTCCTGGACACTCTTATTTAAATTACTGGCCATATGTTCTTTGATTTTGGCCACCACCTTTTTGATGAGATTTTGTTTCGACATACTGTCATTCTCCATTATAGACAATGCAAATTCGTAAATGGCGAAAGCAGCAATTCCAAGTCCAACAGGCCATAGAAATAGAGCCACAAAAGGTAGGACGACCTTGTCGTTATCAATTATGGAATTCTCATCTTGAGCTACGGTTCCTTGAAATTCCCCATACATTAGTTTTTCTTGAATTTCTGACCTCATCCTGGACAGTGTGTATTCCATCTCTATGTCGCAAGCCCGCTGGAAACTTTTAAGGACTGGGCTTATTTTATCCCTCAAAGACATCACGTCTTTAATTGTGAGCTCGTCCATTTGTATTTCATGATCTAAATATCTACGGATCTTGTCTTCATATAAGGTTTGAATGCTTGTCATTTTATCTGCTATACTGGAGTCAGTTTTCAAACGATCAAAGAAATCAAAAACTTTTTCTAAAGATTCACGTGTTTTAACGTCAATCCGAATAATATCTTCCATAGATTTCCATTGGTTTCCAAATTTCATGAAGGCAGACGTACATTCAATCAAACGTGTTAACCACCTATATATAGAGGAGAAAAAGAAAACACTGCAAAACAATATGCCTAAGTATAGACACACTACCGAGAATTAAGGTAAAATACACAAATTATTTTCTTTGACTTTCTATACTTTAGACGTTTAGTTATAATAATTTTTTTTCTCCATACCTCTAAAACGTTAAAAATGAGACAATTAATTGTTAAATAAAGTCGTTCAGCTAATTTCAATGACTGATTTTTATTTTTCCTAATTTTTGTGTCTTTCCTCGCTACAAAAATAATGTACATATTCGTCTTTTAACATCGTCGTTCCATCCTATATTAACTTATGACCAAAATATACACATTACTTATTGACAGATTTCTTTTTAATATGTTTAATAATCAGAATACGAATCCAAAAAATTTCATTTCTGCAAGTTATAGAGCTAATGAAACGTAATTTCTAAAATAATACACACGCCAATAATTATGTTAGATACCAGATTTTTAATAGTCATGCAATGTTAGAAATACACTTTTTCAAAATCACAACTTTCCAGTTTCAGTTAAAAGTATCAAAATTAGAACAGCATTGAGTAATGTTAGAATTACCAAAGAAAACGTGGCAAAACCAGAGAACTTACATGCAGTGCTCCTCCAATAACAAACGTTCAGATTTTATTAGGAAATCTATTATTTCTCTTTGGAGTGTCATCATGCTCTTTGTCGTATGTTTCATCTAAAATACACAATCCATAAAAAGTGATTTAACAGACAAAGTACCGGTAATTGCTTTAAAGTCAGATGTTTGTTCCCCCAAAATTTGAATTTTTCTAGGTACAAGAGGTGAAGCCAAATGGTCCAATCGTACCCAAAACAGAACTTGACCTAGATATTTTTACGATGAATCTGTATAGCAAATTTCATTTCAATATGTGCAACCTCTGCAAAGAAAATGAACAGAAACAGCAAATTATTGGAATTTTCTAAGTTCAAGGGGCATAACCCTGTCCAAGATGGTCCGATCGTACCCAATACAAAACTTGACCAAGATATTGTTATGATAAATCTGTATACCAAATTCAATTTCAATATGTGCGACCTCTGCAAAGGAAATGAACGAACACTGATGGTGGACCGAAAGACCGACCGACAGACAGCAGCAGAGCAATATGCCCTCCCTTCTTCGAAGGGGGCATAATATAAACTGAATTGCCTACTGTGTAATAGCGCTTAGATATTTAAGTTCAGTAAACTTAAATTTCCTTCGATCATTTAATGATCGATATAAAGACCTTTAAAAATTATAATTATGTAGAAAGCTGACTCTTGTTTTTTTTTCATACAATTGTTTGGCCATTTTTATACACTTAATTGTCTTTGGAATTTTCCTTTTCCAATCAAGACAAGGTAACATGACAGGAGTGACCGGTCGACAGAGGATGCTCACTCCTACATGACACCTCGTTTTCTCTGCTCCATATGTGTATTGTTTCAGTAGACTTCTTATACCCCCGCTTAAAAAGCGGGAGGGTATATAGTGATCGGGATATCTGTCAGTTCGTCTGTCTGTACGTCCGTCCATCTATTAAGCTTAGGGGTACCCATCTCTTATTCGCAACTCCTCATTTTTCACTGAATGAAATTTAATGAGACTTCACAGAATCTTTATTACATAGTGCCATTGTGCATCTCCAATTTTACTTTTTGATCAGACACATATTAAAGGCTTCCCAAATGAAAACATGGACACGACCATTTTTTCTATAATTACTGAAGGACAACCGTCTCTTATCCGCAACTCCTCCTATACCACTGAATAAATTTTAATGATATTTTCAAATACTCTTTATTACATAATGCCATTGTGCACTTTTTATTTAACTTTTCGAGCTGACACTTAATTCGAGTGTCCTATAGCACAGCATGGACTTTGCCTCCCATACCAAAAGGGAGGCGGGGGGGGGGGGGGGTATCATTCTGTGCTCACCGAACCTTTCTTAACTCTGCTTTCATAAGAAATTTCTGAAACAGTACCAACCTTTGTCATATTGTCAATAAAGATTATCTGGCTCCTCACCACCATTGGCCAACGCATTTGGATTCTGGCAAGTATCTTGTCTGTAAGATCCGATTTCCTTCTCAAATCGCTAATGATACTTTCTGGGCAGTTTGTACAGACAAAAAGTGCTGTTTGAGGATCCAAAGTTGAACTTTCTATTGCAATTGCATCAGATATATCAGCCATCAACTTTTGCAGCTCACAGTGGAAAAATACAAAACACGAGAGATAACAGATTGTTGATAATACCTAGGGTGCTTATGATGATCTCGTTATCAATTAAAGAATTTTATTTTCAAAAATATACTACATGTTTTACTTTTGATACTTATGTAAGACGTTTATTTTTCAAAATCCCAACAAGAAGCAGGTTTCATGTACAATGATGAATTTTTCAACACTTACTGTAGGTCCACGTACCCCATGATCTCTGTGTATGTCTATCATAAATATGAATGTGTGGCACTTGTCAACATTTCGAAGATATGGCTTAAACGATTCTTGATGGTCCGAATCAATGCCAGGGAAATCCATAAATATAATGGGCAGTCGTCCTCTCCTCTGAAAGTTAGGGATTCAAATGTGCTTTTTGAGTGGTTAAAAGACCTACACTTATTAAATTAATTATGATCATGTAACCCTTTAATAGTGTGTCAAGCTAAAAAGAAGTAACTAAAGTTTCATTCGTGCTGCAGTGACAAGGTTAGATACAAGTGGTTGTGTATCGGCTGAAATACCATTAGCAAGAACAGATCATTTTAAGCACCGGTATTAAGATTACAATATAAAACAATTCAAAAGGATTGTTTTCACAATTAATTCCCTAATACAAGTATCACCGGATAGAACGGCGCATTCGGGGTGGCGGTGGGGCGTGACTCGGGGTGGCGGCACCGAAGCGAGAAAAACACCATCAAGGTGTGTTTACCTGAATTTTTTTCATATGTTCAGACGTCTTAGATCAGAAAACTGTATGCTACGGAAGAGAACAAATATCAACGTACCTCTGACTGTTTAAAGCAGCCTTTGAGAGTGCTCCGTTTTCTCAAATACTCCTCCTCATTTTTCGGGGTATCAACGTTTTCGACTTCTGACATGATATTCTGTTTCAAAATTGAACTCAAAGGGGTTTTTTCCTCACATCATCAACAGTAATAAAGTTGTACGATAGAATTTAACTTCAGTCCTACTTTAAAAGTCAATATATGTTACTAATTAAGCCAATTTAGGCTTCAAACTCTATGCGACGATCGGGGTGGCGGTTTTTATGTCTTGCGGGGTGGCAGCATGTCCGAGAAATAAGGATTATTTTTTCATTCAGCATTCTCCTGGCCCCCTTACGAGACAAAAAAGATTCAGGTCTCTTAAAGAAATTTAGATTATGGCATGGCATGATGTTATTTCGCTATAAATGTGGCTATGTCAAACTTTAAGAAGTTTATTTTATAATTTAAAGTCCGAACTGAACAAGAAATTGACACTTTATCATGATCAGTGCGTATTGCTTTATACAAGCAGTTGCTACATTTAAGTTTTGAACAAAAGTCCAAGTTAAGCAGTATAGACCACTATACATTATAAGAGAGAGGTAATTTTGTGGAGCGATTGTTTTGGGATTTTTACGATTTTTACCTATTGCACACATGATGAATAAGTATAAACAATTTAGAAATTCATTTATGAAGAAAGATTTAATATCGGGGGTGGGGGTGTTCTGTTCACAAGTATCTGTGGTCCATAATTTTGCGACAAATTTTATCAGTTTCATTTCTTCAAAAGAAAACTCGATTTTATGTATTCTTACAGGGATGATGCAGGGATATCAATCTTGAAACATTACAAAGTCCCTGTCCATTTCGGTTCTGGTTGTCCAGGATAAGATTTGATAGTAATGCATTGATTGGCGCACGATGTTTTTCCAGGAATATTTTCCAGCAAACCTTGCTTCATTGAGAAATATCTGTAGATAATTTAAAAGATTATATTTAAAAAAAAAATTGCCAAATGTCTTGTACAAAACGAGTGATCTGATTAATATATTGTTGGAGTGCCGATTATCTGATCTGCGATTGGCAAAAAGATGAGACAAAAATAGTAAACTTCAAAGAATAATAAACACGAAAAGAAAAAATGGTTAAAAACGACTATGGTTCGTTATATTGATGTGTTGTTACAGCACTAGGTTAGTGAAAACTTAAAAGTTGAATGGAAATCATGTTATTTCAAATTATATTTATCCCTGAACATTTTTCTTGTCCCATGTTAAGGGTGGGTGGGAGGGGGGTCTCAAGGACGTTTTTTACTCCACCACATACATATAATTATGTATGTTACCGGTCTTGTAGGGTAGGCTTTCCCCCCTAAAATCTCCCCCCCCCCCGGAAAACTGACTCTTTAGACTTTCCCGCGGAAAGCTGGCTCTAGAGTAGAATTTCCCCTACGGAAATCCCACACCAGAGTCAATTTTCTGGGGGGATCCTAATCTGTATAGTTGTTATAGAGTTTGATTTCCATAGAGCCTCATAGTCAATAACCCCCCCCCCCCCCCCCCCCGATGAAATATAATTTAAGGACAGATGATACAAACAAACCTTGAAAATTACAATTTATGTGCTACTGAAATCACTTTTTTATTCGCTAGAACTTTATTTTCGAGTAATTACGCGAGACAGTGTGCTCGCAAAAATTTGATTCTTGCGTATAATAGTATTCTATAGAATTATGTAGAGCAAGAACCACAATTCGTAAAAAATTGTTTCGCTTATCAAGAGTCAATGACTATCTCGCGAAAATAAGGTGTCTCGAAAATATAGTGATCTACAGTATTTAAATATGTAAAATGAAAGTTAAATTTTTCATTAAAGGTTTCAAAAATGGGATTTAAGGAGATTTAATATGACGAAAACATTGTATAGATTAATAAGGATGGTTACAGAAAGGTGGAAATTTGAACATCATAGTAAGTTTACAATTTTAAAATATTTTAGAAATTTTATTATTGTAATCATTTACAACCAAAATACATGTAGGTCCAAAAATATATACCAATCTAGACATCCATTTTTGTATGTTTCATTATATTTTGAGAATATTTACATTTCATTTGAAAGCTAAATATTTTGGTTTAAGATTACATGATTTGCCTTACAATATAAGTAATTAAACCCACTCATTTACCTTTTAAAAATCAGTTTGCCGTTTATCTTTTTTTCACAAAGATACTGAGTATTGCGGCTGTGGTTTACATTGACTCTATAAACGAGGGGGGTCCTACTCTGAGAAAAAAAGGGAGGAAATTTTACTCTGGTATGAGTTTCCCCTCAGTGGAAAATCCTACTCTAGAGTACGATTTCCGGAGGGGGGGGGGAAGCTGGCTATGGGGGACATCTTACTCTACAACACCGGTATGCTCTCGTTGTCGTTTTTATGCTTTTTATTTCAGTTCATTTTACGTTTGTTCCAATGGATTAGACCGAACATGGTCGGGGGGGGGGGCATTCTACAGTTTCTTTTATGGCAAAGCCCCACCCACTTTTTGCAAAGATAGACATAATAAAGACATTGAACATTTTGGGGGTAGTTTTAACATCCACCCCACCCCACCCCTTTCTACACGCACAGGTTACAGTGTATTCAAAGAAGGGTGAGTTGTGCTTGGGGTTTTGAAAAAGAAAATGGTACTGAAAGAATATTGATCTATCCTAACACCTCCCCCAAGAAACAGGATTTAGCGTTTGAATAATTTACTTCTTTTGCTTGTCAATTTTTTTCCAGGTTTGAATTTTGTTCTCTTTCAATTAGCACCACTCCTTTCATTTTTTTCTTCTGAAGCTAATGTATGGTAAAGTTTTTGTCCATTATTGAGGGCCGTATTGGGATTTTTTATAGTGAAATTATTTGTTGTTTTGCATTTAGTGGATGGGATACCCCCTTCCCTGCTCAATTAAAAGATATAGGAATGGATAGCGATCATCTATGATAGATTTTCAAGTTTTTTGCCCATAATTAGTCAAATTATGGGCTTTAAAAAAGTTGGCCAAACCTTCTGCACATAATTATTGCATTTTACAAGTCAACTTCATGTAAAACGCATTAATCAAGTGCAGAAGGTTTGGCCAATTTTTAGCATGTAGTGTGATACACATAAATCGACAATTTCAGTTAATTTCACATCTTTCGGCTATGAACGTATGTCCCGAATAAACAGATTATCACAATATGATAATTTAACAACAGTCACTCAGTTGTTGTTTTGTTATAGTTTAGGGATAAGTACAAAGATGTTTATATGTGTATAAAAATTGTGATTGAAATTATCTTGATTATTCTGCTTAACATAGGCTTTTGTTCATTCAGTGTAGCAACTGTACATAGCAATACGCACCACTACATTGTATCATTATTAAGTGTCTATTCCTTGTTCAGTTCGGACTTTAAATTGTAAAAATAAACTTCTTAAAGTTTGACATAGCCACATTTATAGCGAAATAACATCATGCCATGCCATAATCTAAATTTCTCTAAGAGACCTGAATCTTTTTTGTCTCGTAAGGGGGCCAGGAGAATGCTGAATGAAAAAATAATCCTTATTTCTCGGACATGCTGCCACCCCGCAAGACATAAAAACCGCCACCCCGATCGTCGCATAGAGTTTGAAGCCTAAATTGGCTTAATTAGTAACATATATTGACTTTTAAAGTAGGACTGAAGTTAAATTCTATCGTACAACTTTGTTACTGTTGATGATGTGAGGAAAAAAAACCCCTTTGAGGTCAATTTTGAAACAGAATATCATGTCAGAAGTCGAAAACGTTGATACTCCGAAAAGTGAGGAGGAGTATTTGAGAAAACGGAGCACTCTCAAAGGCTGCTTTAAACAGTCAGAGGTACGTTGATATTTGTTCTCTTCCGTAGCATACAATTTTCTGATCTAAGACGTCTGAACATATGAAAAAAATTCAGGTAAACACACCTTGATGGTGTTTTTCTCCCTTCGGTGCCGCCACCCCGAGTCACGCCCCACCGCCACCCCGAATGCGCCGTTCTATCCGGTGAGTATAGTAGCAAATTTATGATTCTTCAAATTAAAAACAAAACATAATTATGAAGTCAATTAAAATTTTGATCAGATATCACTCACAGGACGTATGCTTTCCAACAAGTCAGATGCCATATCAATACTGCCGCTGATATGTCGTCCCTATCAAAATAATCAAAATACATTGTACATGTATTCAATAAATATGATCTAGTCTATCTCTATGAATTTCCTCATTATATTGATATTGACTTGGTAAAGTAACCACAGATAAAATTCTATAATTCGGGTCGGTTTCGTTCAAAATATAAATTGACTGAATTTTACATTTAAAAGTCTTGAATGTTATTTCTCCAAAGGAAAAACCAGTGAATCGGAGAAAAAAGCGAAGTTCTGTATCTTACTGTCAATATTTTTGACATGTAGTCCTAAAATGCTTCTGTTGTAACTTACCGCTTCTTTAGTTTCTGTCTGATGCATGCTCTGAAAACGAGAAAAGAAATCAAAACAATAAAAAACTGCAATAAATGACAAATAATGCTTTCTTATAACTTGAAGTCCACATCTTTCTTTCTCCATTTTTGTCACTAGTGTTTTTCGTAGGTAACAAATTTGTAATAATAAACTTCCTTAGTATTATATACTAGTATAACAGATACAGATAGATGCAAGTATGAGACTGATCTAAATAAAGTTAAAGTATTTTTTCGAGTATTATATGGAAAAAACAAAAGCAAACTTTCCAGGTTGATCCAATTTGGACTTACCTGACAGAAGTTTTTATGATCATTAATGGCTAAGAAGATCGTATATATAAAATGGTCTTATTCAAACTTTATGGTAAATGTTAAAAGATTGGTTGAATACTAGTACCTTGAAGATCATCAATGGCCAGTATATTTCGACTTTAGTAACTCTGATTTGATTATCAGTCTTGTCCTTAATACAGGCCTGAATCCGATTCCATTCGTCGGAAGTCGAGTCAGGTGGTAAATTAATATCTATACGCTGTCCTGTCCCGTAGTATATGATTCCTAGTCTAGTTAAACAAATAAGATTATTCAGTAGATTGACAAAATCATTTTTTTTAAGAAAGAGAAATGTGTAGATGTAAAAAATTAGTGCATTATTATCAATTGTAAAGAACAAATCTTAAATCTTTATTTTAAAAGGTGTGTCACTTCAAACATATGCTTGAGTTTCTGATTTACAATTATATCTATTTGGTTTATGAAAACAAGGCCCCAAGATCATGGAACAGACTTAGACTTAAGTCAAATTTTCAAGAGCCTGTTAAATGTTCATTTACAATTTAATTTATCTAAAAACTTGCAAATTGCAACACTTTTGTGAATCAATACTAAAACATATTTTAAATTTGATCTGCTTGACCTCCACAACATCTAAGTATAAAATAAACATTTTAATATAAGCTGAAAATGTTCTATGATACCAGGATTAGGGTTAGGTCTTCCAACAATCTTTTGGAATTCCCATGGGTACAAGTTGTGCCCCGTTATCAGCAGATCTTTTTTGTATTCATATGAAAAAGAATTCTTCCAAAGTCTTACGTGAAAAAAAGAAAACATTTGCTGTGGCCTTCAACTCGACATTTAGATATATCGAAGACGTATTGTCAATTAACAATGGTTATTTCCATTTTCATGTCGTAACAATATATCCAAGTGAGCTTTAGATCAAATATACCACGGACACGGAGTCTAACACATCTGTTTCATATTTTAATATATATATGATATATTACTTGAAAAAGACGTTTATGGTCATCTAACAACTAAGCGTGATAAACATGATGGCTTTCACGTTTACTTATGTAGCAATATATACTGTTATCACCTGTTATCACCTGCATACGGAGTTGACATCTCTCAGTTGGCTCGATACGCAAGAGCATGCTTTATGTATGAACAATTAATAAAACGAGCTTAAGTTGACCTTGTCAGCCAATACAATTTATCATTGAGTCAAATGCTGACTGACGTTTTTCAAACTTATTGTTAGGACACTATTTAAACACTTAATTAAGGAGGCTAGGTGGTCAACAAATTAACCACCAAATATACTTTAAATATTTAGATATGTTATATTAAACTGTCAACTATCATTTGGCGAAATTTTTTTTTTTTTATAAATTTTAGTTTTAAAATTCGATCATTTTATTATAATTTACTTTATATGGAGTTCTTCTTCTAGAGGAAATCAAAATAATCCTACGTGGCACGTTCATTATCCTACCTCTGATGTTTTGGAAGTCCATGTTTGCACAACTCCTATCATTTATTGTTTAATGGACTTTTGAGCTTGAATACTATTCGTTATCCCCATATATTAACCTCTTTTTAAAAAAACTAATAATGTGGGTTTTTAAAATCAATTTCTGAAACATATTTCTTCAGGTTAAGGCCATTTCTTTTTTCATTTAACATTCTTGGCCTATAAATACCTCACTGGGTTATTGTGAACCTCGCAGAGAACATTAGTACAGCTTCCATGGTCGGTGGGTAAATAGTCTCCACCCATCAGTAAGTTCAGAAAGGTCGACTTACCCACTGCCACCTCTCCTATAATAAAGTAATCATAGTTAAATTATTATTATATGAGCTGATTTTGCCACTACTAACTGATTGGCCAAAATTCCAATAGCTTGAAAATGATACCATACTAGTATGTCACACTTCATATCAAAGTGATTAAAAATAGAGTTCGCAGTTGTTATGAAGTCTGAAATCAACAAATGAGCAAGCCTGTAAACTGTAAATTGGCATTATAACAGCTAGTTTTTACTTTACTTCTAAGAGATGGGTTCCATATCTTGGTATACCTGCTATGTAAACACGAAGCTCACGCTGCCCATCCTTTAAGCTCTCCATTCTTCTCTGTAGAACCTCTGTGATCGTAACATGTGAGTCTTTCATCATATGGTACTGAAGGGTAAGTTTCTCCAGTGTATCTAACTGGCTCTCAGTGAACACTTCATCGGCCTCTTTATACAACTTATAGCACTTGTTGTATTTAGCATCAGAGAACATCGAACATATTCTTTCCTGTAAATGAATATGGGTAATCGTAAATATTTCATCAAACTACATAACTTAGGCAAATCAATGTGTTTAAATATTCTTGTACAGTAATATTGGAAATACACAATGTGGTGTATGAAAAAAACAAACAATCAAATTCATCACAAGAAATACTGATTTGAATATTAAAAAAGTTAAAAAGTTAATGTGTTTGAATCATAATATGCTTCTGTTATTACAATTATGGGATTATAAGAAAAAGTTTATTGGAAATGTTAGAATTTTTATCTCTTAACATCCAAGAAAAATGAAAAAAGAAAAGAATTATGACAATCAAAAATCATTTATATTCCTTTTTTATTTTTGTTATGTTCCTTTTTTATGAAATAATTTTCGACAAAGCTAACATTTTGTATACTTACCGCCGGGTCATCGTCTGTGTCACAGTTACCGGCCATGGTCCCAAAATACAACAGGGTCTGACCAGGTGAACCACTATAACACATTTGATGAAACAGGTTGAAATCAAATATGTAAACTATTTATCAACAAATCATACATTATAACGATTGGTTGGTGTTATCAAACGCATGAAGGACAAGATAAACTTAACAATAGATTAGTGATTAAATCGGGAAGTCCTACATTTGTATGCTTAAAAAAGACCTTAATCTACGACTCGAAAATGGATAGAAACGATTCCTAATTATGAACTCTAAGGAATGATACTGGATAATTTTTTATCCTTTATTTATTATTATACATTACTTTCATTCTTGTTAATTACAACAGATATAAATCACAGTTACCATCTTCCTGTAAAGAATGATTTTATATACTTTACATACTTTTGAAATTTTTTGTATGATTACACACCATTTTAAAGATTTGCTGAGACAAATTGTATGTTTTATCAATAACGACAGTTTTGTATTCAAGTACTGTATACTGTATTTTAAAGTTTTTTGGTACATACTCGTACTTCAGCTTTATAAAGAATTTCAAATTCATTTTTACTTGATAGGTGTTCTAGTTTCACGATATTCAAAAGAATGGATGATTGATTGTATATTGTTTAACGTCCCTCTATTTTTTCACTCATATGGAGACGCCACCACTTGCCGGTGGAGAGCTGCAAAATTTGTCCTATGCTCGGCACTTAGGGCCATTGAGCAGGGAGGGTTCTATTTCGTGCCAGCACCTACTGCGACACGGGACCTCGGTTTATACGGTAAAGAATGGATGAAGATAGGCACGGGAGTGTCTTTTGTTACAAACCCATTTTAAATTTAAATTTCTTCAAGATTCTTCGTGCTGCTCTCTCTCTCTCTCTCTCTACTTCAGGGAGGATTAATTTCTCTTAAATACGTTGGATGTTATTGGTTTGAATATTTCACAATATTTTGTAAATATATAAAATATATTTTTTTCAAAGGAAAAAATGGTATTGCTTAATAAGAAATAAGGTATTTCACCCCTATCATTGAAAATCTCTTTTCTTTTATGAAATATAAGGGAATCTAATTGTAATCAAGCTTAACAGTTCATTGAAAAGAGACCATGGCGCAGAGGATACACAGACCTCTAAAACATTAGGTGCCATGGAGGAGACAGCATCACTGTCGATCAGTCACATCTGTCCCATGTTCTTTGTCATGATTGGACAAACGAGACAGTTGATATCCAATAGCTTGCCTCGTTTACAAATTGTTTGCAGGTAAAGCATGCTCTTGTGCAACAAATCAACTAAGAGTCGAGAGATATATCGAATAAATGTCAGAATGAAAATGAATACTAGTATTCATTTGTAACTTGGTATATCTAAATGTTGATTTGAAGGCCACAGCAAGATACTCTTCTGGAGCAGAAGTTTGAAATAAATTTTGTTTTATATGAATACACAAATGGGGGGAGGGCTAGTACCCGACCGGAATTCCGACAGGTTGTCAAAAGTGAAAGTTACATTCTAATGGCTTTTATTTTCAACATTTAAAAATGATATACACTATATAAAAAGTATTTCTCAACAAATCATGCAAACTTACGATTAGGTGATATTATGACACCTGTAAAGGACAAAATAAACTTTACAATAGATTATCAATAAACAATGGTTATTTCCATTCTTATGTCGATATGATATATCCAGGTGAGATTGATATAAAAGATACCACAAAGTCTGGTTCATCTGTTTTATATTTGGATATTATACTTAAAAAAGACATTAATGGTAATCAAACAAGCAAGCTTTATGGTAAACGTGATGACTTTTTCAATTGTCAACTTCCCTTACTTATGCAGCAATATACCTTTATTAGCTACATACTGGTTTTATATCTCTCATTCGATACGCAAGAGCATGCTCTACGTGTGTTCAATATCTGAAACGAAGTAAATTATTGACAAACAAGTTGATGAAACAAGAATACCAGCGGTTTCGTTTAAAGTTATCATTTTGTAAGTTCTATGGTAGATACAATTAATGAACTTGTTAGTAAAAGACAATTTTTCATTGAGTGAAATGCTGACTGACGTTATTCATAATTATTATTAGGCCATTTTTACACACTGAATTGACGACGGAAGTCTCCGTTATTTCCCAATCATAACAAAGAGCACATAGCGGATGTGACCCGTCGACAGGGCATACTCACTCCTATAATGTCACCTGGTCAACCTCTGATATTTTAGAGGTCCGTGTTTGCTCTGCTCCTATTTTGTATTTATATTTATTTTTGAGCTTGAATGAGATATGATAAATACTGTTCGTTATCTCCATACATTTTATAAGTGATTGAATCATTAAGTCCCAAATTTTAAAGGCTTCAAGGGTTCACCCCATCTTCGCTAGCCAAGGGTTTCTGATACGCTACTCTCCTCATAAACCCTTGGCCTACGGTGTTCATAAAAATCGGGATTTTTTTCCAGAGTTCTGATTGGATTTCAGTACACCCAGGTCGACCAATCAGCAATTGTTTTTTGTAAATGACGATATTTGCGTTCGGGATACATCTTCACTCTTTAATCTCGGAAATGAAAAACGCAAGTAAACAACTATTCTCGTTCAACCAGACCCTCGGCTGTCTCCGTAAATCTCCGACCACCCATCTCTGCTGGTCGGAGTTCACGGAGACAGCCGAGCGTCTGGTTGAACGAGACTAGTAAACAACGATCCGTAAGATAACATTCTATTCCATGAATAGCCATGGTGTCATCCAATATCTTATAAATATGTGATTAAGAATTTATATTGAAGCTTCAGATTTGTTCTATAAATAATGAATAAACATAACTCAATTATTGCTTCTTAATTATTATTGAAAAAACTTTGATTTAATTTTTTTTAACACGTGTCTTTATTTCTGGCGATGACGCAATCTGTGCGTACCTGATAGATTCGAGATCACGTGACGGAAAACAATCCCGTCTTTCGTATGCCAAGGGTTTATGAGGAGAGGAGCGTATCAGAAACCCTTGGCTAGCGAAGATGGGGTTCACCCACACTACGACTCAAATTTGATACACATGAACTCTTTTGAAGATCTTTAATATGTTCAAGATTACTTTTACTCTAGTCAAGTACAACAGATATACCATATATCAAAGTGATAAGCTTGCTCTTCATACCCTTCTTCTTACATAAATACTTCTCAAATGTGTTGATATGCTTTATAAGGTCCTGTATTGAAAAGGTATTTAAAACTATAAAGATTTGCTGAAACAAAATTTTTGATTTATCAAAATGACATTTTTTTTATCTTTTAAATTAAATTAAGTTTTTATACAATCTCTTTGGCAGTGAATCATAATAAAATGTAGAACTTAAAATACAGCTAAGCTGTTTTGTTATGATTATTGAAAATTGGAAAAGACTTACGTGGAGGGTTTCAAATATTTTTATTTTTAGGTCACTTTTGGTATCCCTGTTTTATACCCAGTTCACAGATTTGTATGTATTTGTTCATGATTATCGGAAATGTGAGTAAAATGTAATGATAAAAAATAGAATTTTATCTAAATTGTATGTTTTTTAAAATAAAATATTATGTATATATAGTGGAGAAAATAAAAAAAAATTATGTTCACTTCAAAAAGCTTAAAAGATTTGAAATTAATTTTACCTATAATTTAAGTCCCCGATCCTGGCAGAGGGAGGTACAACGTTGACCGAAATTTTTAGACAAGAAGATGATAAAATAAGAGAGTAAATAACCTTCCACTACCAAGAAAAACATAAAGTATTTAACGACCGCGCCAAATAGATGTATTCTTGTGCAAAAGTAATTATCAGCGTTAGATACGAAATGCCAAGGTATGATATATGATTAAGAAAGTTGCAGTTAATTATCTGAATCTTAGAGAAACAAATCTGTATGTAGCATGTTTATTGCCACATCCATGAAATTTACTACTGTTTTTTGTATAAATAAACCACTTAACATAGAAGATAAGGGAAAAATCATCAACTGAATAATTTATGTATTTGGTTTTCTAAATATAAGATAAATCTGGTACTAATTAATGAACTTAATATTATTACATTTTTTAATGTTAAAATGCCCTACCCTGATCACAAAGGTTGAAAGACTTAAACTCAAAGATTATAAGTCATTCAAAGAAGTCAGCTTCTTTTATATCGGAAGGTTAGCATCTGGACACATTTTAAAAAAATCAATTGTCTTTTTTTTAAAAAAAAAAAAAAACATCATCAATACGCATGTGCATCATATGAAAAATAGTTAAACTAATATAAACTGATAAAAATATTAAAAGACTTTTCAAATGAAATGAAAAATCATTATAACTCAATATACAAAAAACCAATGCTATCAATCCTTATATAAAAGAAAATTATATAAGTACATAAATTTCTTATTATTGCTCACTTTAATACCCAGCGATGGAAAGATACTGACAGCTGTTTAATAAATCTATATATAGATAACACAAACATCCCCCTCCCCAATTTTGATATTTATCTTTAACATGAGCTATTCTTTCTAGAAAGAATTTATATGTTAAGTTTTACAACTTCAAGTTTGACCAATCCTCATAAGGTGAAAAATAGAAAAATGTAACTTCAGGATTCATAATAACTTTCTCAAACTTTTATGAATGTAGAAAGGTTCATTCCTGAGAAGGTTCTTGGAACATTTTTATTAGTCTATTTTTACATCTTAAACAACTAGAATTTCAAATCATATATTTTTTAAAGTTTAAAATTTTAAATTTGCAACAATATATTTAAGAAGTGATGTGAATCAGATGTGGATACTCAAAAATTCCAAAGAACTTTTGGACAATTTGAAATCACAAGATTTTACCAAAATCAACAGCTTAAAAATTTACGACTTCTCGACTTTATACATAACAATTCCCCACGATAAATTAAAGCCCAGGCTTTTTGATATTATTGACAGCTGCTTTTTCATTGAAAATGGAACTCGTGAATTTACTTACCTGGTCATTGGTCATTTGCAAAATTATTTTGTTAAAACACATTCTGATTGCACACACAAGTACTCTGAAGTCGACATAAAAAGATGCTTGAGTTTCTGATTGAAAATATCTATGTGGTTTTTGGAGACCAGGTCTTCCAACAATCTATTGGAATTCCCATGGGTACCAATTGCGATCCCTTTTTAGCAGACAATTTTTATATTCATATGAAGCAGAATTTGTGCAAAATCCTATGCGTGAAAAGAAGAAAACACTTGCTGTGGCCTTCAACTCAACATTTAGATATATCGACGACGTATTGTCAATTAACAATGACAATTTCCATTCCTACGTCGATACGATATATCCTGGTGAGCTTGAGATAAAAGATACCACAGGATCTGACACATCTGTTTCATACTTGGATATTTTACTTGAAAAAGACGTTAATGGTAATCTAACAACCAAGCTATATGATAAACTTGATGACTTTAACTTTTCTATCGTCAAGTTAAACGGATTTTCTCGTTATTTCCCGGTCATGACAAAGAGCACACGGCGGGTGTGACCAGTCAGCAGGGTATGCCCACTCCTGGATGGCACCTGATCCCACCTCTGATGTTTCGGAGGTCCGTGTCTGCTCTGCTCCTAATTGTATTGTTTTATGGACTTTGAAATTGAATACTGTTCGTTATCTCCATATCCATTATATAGATTTTCACTGAAAAAAAAGTAATTGAAATAATAGATAATTAAGTCTTCTTTACATTCATTTCTGCTCTGAAAAAATAGAAGTATTTTATTTAGCAAAACCCTTGTCTGACAAAACAGTAGGCACTCATTCTTTTTTTAGCTATATATCTTGATGTTTGGGAATCTAGAGAAATCGCATTTTTGGTTCATTATTAAAAGACATCAGGAATAAGACTCTCATGCAATCAAATTCTTTAAAAAAGTATCTAAGTTATGGAAGATTTTTGCTTTAATCTTTTACTTTTTGCCCAAAATATAAAAGAATGGATAAAGTACAAAGTTTTTTTCCTCTGTTTTATTAAAGTACAAGAAATCAAAATAAATTCAACGTACTACAAAGGACACTGATATTTGAGATATAGAAGAGAATATCCCCACAACGTCGTGTAATTAATTAAATGTAAGAAAAGCATCAACACTTGAAGAATGTTTATTTGTCCTATGTAGACAATGAAATTCACACCTTAACCTGTGAATTGTTGTTTATAATTTAAAGTTTTGACGTGCGCGGACATTTCCAGCTGGCAATACCCTATATAACGCTCCCTCTTCAGACAAAAGCAATCAATCGAGCATTTCTGTCTGTTCATTTTGATTGGCAGGTAAAAGAAAAATTTACAAAATTGGAACTTTTATTTAGACATTTTCCAGTTAAGGAAATGTAGCAAGATGGTTCAGTCTCTGGTTGTTTCTTTTCTGCTTACTATAGTTTTTGCTGATGAGCTAGGCTGGATGAAATGGGATGCATTTGATGAACTCGAACAACAGTTTCGAACCGTGAATGGCGAAAACTGTAGGTCAAAGCCTTTAAGTGATTTAATAATGCCCGAAGATGTTCTAACACAGATACCGAAATATAATGAACTACGTACCAAAGTGTTTTATAAAAATCGGACAAACCTCATTCATCTGCACAATATGGCCCTGAATAGAGCTTTTTACTTTAGCTACATATACCAAAGACTGAACACATCGGAAGTCTTTGAGACCATGCCGGATGTTCATTATCTCCATTTTTCTGTAGCTGCTGATATCAATGCACATCCCACAGTCAATGGCAGCGCCATGTACTTCGATCAGGACTGTTATTACCCCAACTGGATGATTAACTACGACTTTAACCGCACTCTTCCCCTTTTTGCACCACGGTCGTGGAGATGGGATGATACCTTTGACCAGGTCAATATTCTACGAGAACCAACTCTCACGACGACACTTGTAGTAGATGCTGGAAGTGGCTTTCATAAAAACTATACAAATCACGGATACCGAATGAACCCCTGGTATGACTTCTGGCTGCCGGACACTCGTCCAATTTATGATTCGACCCGAAAATTCACTTGGAGTGTAAACCTGAAGTTCACCAACACTAGCGGAGACTTCACGCATGATACATTTGAAGGATTTAATTTCTTTGGTCCAAATAACCCTGGATTAAATGATCCCATGGAGAAACTACCCGTTCGTTTCACCAGACCATACTTCGACTGTGGAAAATCCAACAAGTGGGTGGTATCTGCAGTTTCTCCTGTGGCCGACTTCATGCCTCGATACAGTAACTGGACGCACCTCAGACGACCGAGGTAAGAATCTAATGACGTTGTGGAGGTCCTTGTTTGCTCTTTTCCTATTTTGTATTGTTTTATGGAATTTTGATCTTGAATACTGTTCGTTATCTCCATATAATTCATGATAAAGTTATCAACTTCGTGATCAACAGATCAACAAAAAGCTGACACGATGTTGTACCAAATTTGAATGTACATTTTCATTTTCTTTGTAATATTTTATACCGTTTTAAACCATGATTAAAACGTAAGAGAGAGCTTATATTGGGACTTTGTACAGAAATGCATATCTAAAATAAAGAATTGCAAAAAATATACCAAATTGTCTTCTACTTTTCGTATTTTAGCATGATTGTTTTACAAAATTTGTACTGTTCTTTTTATTCAAAATGAAGATTCGTTGGCGTTGTGGTGATGGACACCGATTTCGAGCATGTAGATTTCAATCCATGTGGAATTAGTGACGGAAATCCTGGGCCAAGTTACCTGGCGGGAATTGACAGATGCAAGAAAAACTCAAAGGTATTTTAATGTACATTATATTTCTTGATTTTACGCATGCGAAAATATTTAGTCTGCGATGGCACTAAATGCAATGTCAATATATTTTTATGCCAGTTAATAATTTTATCTACGCTCATTGTACGACATAAATGCATATTTACCTGCATGTTTCTCGTTCAATTGCATGCATGTTAATTTATTTAATTAAATTGTTTTAAGAAAGGACGTCAAAACTAACCTTTCGGGTCTAAAATGAATAAACAACAACAAGTGAAAGATTATAACTAAATTTAATTTGACATGGGAAGTTCATTATTGCTGGAAAACACATTATTACAGTTAAATACAAAGTGTCAAGGTAATAACATGTAATTGTTTAGATAAAACTGCATACATTCTCGTTTCTGACTGGTGCAAACTAGTATTTGGACAGTCCTACAAGTATTTTATAGAACATGTTAAGCAAATGATGTTGCGTCTTTATTTAACATTAAGGATGCAAGTTTCAATGGTCATATTGTATTATCTTTGTAGATGTATACCGTAATTTTAACGACTTGAATAACGTATACTTGAGATGAATACTTTCATGACTTCCTGTACGAACTTACAGAACAGCCATGTATCTGTAGAGAATCCTCAAATTAGAAATGAAATGGTCACCTCTAGTATTCTTTCAATTTGAAATATAGAAAAAGTGAACCTACATATATTTAAAACACCAATGAACAAGACCAATAAACAACAAAAAATGTTTTGAAATGAAGGAAAATTTCAATGTAAAGCAAAAATGTATTTCGTATAGATTATCTAAGAAAAAAATGTTTGAATAAAATGAAAAGGGGAAGAAGCACCACCTATTTTCAAGGGTACAAAGTTGTTATAGTGCTTTTGCAAGCTCGTCAAAATGTGTTTTGTATAAAGAAATAAGTGATACATTTGATTTAAAAAGATATCTTGTTAAGCGATTGACATATAATGTACAAAGAAAAGTCTGTGTTATGTAAGTATCGAATTTCTGCGCATTATTTGAATATTGAAAACGGAAGATAAAAAAACCTACCCCGAAATGAACGCAAATGTTTATTTTGTAAAATGGAAGAAGTAGAAGATAAATTACATTGTTTTCAAATGCCCGACATTCTCAGACCTACGTAAAAAATATATAAAGCCTTAATATTAAAAAACCGTCCTTTTTCAAACTCATCCAGCTTTTTAGTGCATATGATTTTAAAACTATTCAAAAACTTTATCAATATTTATAGAAAGCTACAAAACAAAGGAAAAAACTTGTTTCTTAAATATTATTAATGATATTTCAAATTTTCCATAGTTCGATTTTTTCTTTGTCACAAATTCTTATATTGACTAACCATATATTGTTGTTCTTTTTCAATCCTCTGCCATATGCCTGTATTGTATATATTTGTGTACCTATGAACTACAAGGCTCCTTTGGTCAACAACAATAAACGGTCTAGTTCATTACTCAGTTTAAAGACTTGTCAGGATGACCGTATATTTTGCCGGTGATGGACAATTCGTGATAATTTTCTCACATTGTTTCTGTTTACAAAGATAGTGATTGATGTTTGTCATTAAGATTATAAAAATTAAACATCCGAAGGTAAATTACTCATTTTAAAATATAAAGCTAAAATTTGTATACAAGATTTTCAAGACTTCACCTTTCAAAATAAAATTATACTCACTATTTACACCCTAAAGCTTTAGAGACCACATTTTTTGCTGAAAAAATGTATATCATTTTCAAAAGGCCTTGTTTAAAATATACAATATAAATTTTCTTATTTTTTATATTTCAGTGTAAGCACGTAAGCGGTTACGGATTCCGTCGAGGAAGTTATGTATGCAAATGTCGGTACGGCTACAGATACCCGACAGAAATAGAGCACCCTTATAAGGGTTCTAACATAGAGGAGTCCACGTGGACAGAATACAACGAAGGTTTCAACTGTACTCCTACTGATCGTAAGTACTTAGACTAAGTACTATAACATACAACATCACATAAGACAGAATGTTAATTTTTTGCTGTTCTTGCTTCGCTGTCAATATCACAAAACAAAATGTTTATTTGAGTATCATTGAAGACAAGTAACTTCGATGTGTCACAAGAAGAAAAGTATTTGAATCTTAATATATATTGGATCTGAAACTTCATACGAATCCTTACAAACAAAGATACATTGCGGGTTCCAGTAAATGTTCTACCAAGCCTCTTTCTTTACTCCTCACTAAGATGTCGATAGTGGTGAAGGAAAAACAAGAGTAATGTGCAACAAAATATTCAAGAAGTGACATGAATCAGATATGAATACTCAAAAATTCCAATGAAATCACAAGATTTTACCAATATCAACAGCTTAAAAACTTACGAATTTTCAACTTTATACGCAACCATTCCCCACGATAAATCAAAGTCTCGGCTTTTTGATATCATTGATATCTGCTTTTTCAAATTATATGGAACTCGTAAATTTACGTACCTGATCATTGGTCATTTGCAAAATTATTTTGTTAAAACACATTATGATTGCACACACAAGTACTCTGAAGTCGACATCAAAAGGATGCTTGAGTTTCTGATTGACAATATCTATTAGTTTTTGGAGACCAGGATTAAGATATATCGACAACGTATTGTCAATTAACAATTGTAATTTCCATTCCTTTGTCGATACGATATATCCTTGTGAGCTTGAGATAAAAGATACCACATTGTCAGACACATTTGTTTCATACTTGAATATTTTACTTAAAAAAGATGTTAATACAACCAAGCTCATAAACATGATGACTTTAAATTTTCTATCGTCAACTTCCCTTCCTTATGCAGCAATATACCTTCATCACCTGCATACGAAGTTTATATATCTCAGTTGATTCAATAAGCAAGAGCATGCTCTAGGTAATCTATGAACAATTTCTAAAAGGAAGTAAATTATTGACAAACAAGTTGATGAAACAAGAATATCAGTAATCTCATTTAAGTCATCATTTCATACGTTCTATGGTCGATACAAAGACCTTGTCAGCAAATACAATCTATCATTGAGTCAAATGCTGACTGACGTTTTTCATACTAATTGTTAGTACATTACTTAAACACTGAATTGACAACGGGTTTTCCGTTATTTTCCGGTCATTACAAGGAACACACGGCGGGTGTGACCGGTCAGCAGCGGATGCTCATTCGTCCATGGCACCTGATTTCACCTTTGATGGTTTGGAGGTGAATATTTGCTCTGCTCCTATTTTGTATTGTTTTATGAATTTTGATATTGAATGCTGTTCGTTATCTCCATATCCCTCATTCCTATACATTGTAGAATATAGAATTTCAAAGGAAAAAGTGAAAATGACATATCTTTACAAATCTCAACTAGAGGTACTGTGAGCAATGAGCTCAATAAATGATACCCCCCCCCCCGCCTCCCATATGGTTATAAAGGCAAAGTCCATGTTTTGCTGTGGCCGGGAAACCCAAAATATGTGTCGGATCAAAAAGTAAAATAGGAGGTCTACAATGGCAATATGTGATAAAGATTCTGTGAAAGTTTCATTAAATTTCACTCAGTGGTATAGGGGGAGTTGCGGATAAGAAATGGGTACCCCAAAGTGTAACAGACAGACGGACGGACGGACGGACACATCGATTACAGTATACCCACCCAGTTTTCAAGCGGGGGGTATAATAAAAGTTTTTAACAAATCTTTGAATATATACTGTACAAAAATTATGAACCTTCGGGAGTTCGAGAAATGAAATGACGTGCCTACAATGATAAAGTATTCCCTGCCAAAGCATTGTTCAGGTTGAAGGGATATTCCATAGTCAAATTCAGAATAAAAGCAAAAGCATTAAAATCCAGATGAAGTTTGTCAAAATTAACCCAATCAAAATACTGACTTTTAATAATGTATTTGAAATCCCTGTCACTTACCTGTCAGCAGCCAGTCTCAGTTTAAAATTGATGATACTTCAGTTTAACATTCTTGAACATAGAATAAGATATCTTGCATAAAAGTGAACATAAATATAATTGCATGTTTATATAAAACTATATATCCTTAAAAATGATTATATAAAATGCAAAAAAATTGTTTGATAATACATAAAATTTTGGCCACTAGTATTTTGCATTTATTTACATTGTTAAAACAAACTATAAAATATCTTGCACATGTTTCATATTTGATATTTTACATTAATTATCTCCTCCTACATGCAAGATAAATTATGCTAACATGCAACATAATTATGTCAACATGCAAAAATTATGTCAACATGCTTGCATGTTAACATAAATATCTTGCAAGTCTACATAATTATCTCAAGATATTTATGTTAACATGTTAATAAGCAGATAATTATGTAGACATAAGATATTTATGTTAACATGCAAAATACTAGTCATTATCTTGTCATAATTATGTTGCAACTTGCATCTACTTATGTCAACATGCTACTTATTTATGTGAAAATGCGAGCATAAAAGATATTTATGTCAACATGTATAAGTTGCATATCAACATACATATCTTGATTTTAATTATATTGCATGTTGACATTTTAAAATCAGATTCTCTTTGAAGATTTGTAACTTGCATGTCAACATAATTAGCTTGCATGTTGACATAAATATGTTGCATGTCTACATAATTATGTTGCATGTTAACATAATTTATCTTGCGTTTAGGGGGCAGAAATATGCCCCCATAGGTGATGTATGAACAAAGCTTAATGAAAAATATGATGACTTTAACATTTCAATCTTAAACTTCCCTTGACAAGGAGCAAACGGCGGGAGTGACCGGTCGGCAGAATATGCTAACTCCTCCATGTTTTAAATGGTCCGTGTTTACTCTGCTTCAAACTTTGTATTGTATTCAGCATAAAAGCCCATTTAACAATACAAGTTTTGGAACAGAGCAAACACAGACCTCTAAAACATTTGAGGTGGGTTCAGGTGTCATGGAGGAGTAATCTGCCGACTGTCATACACGCCATGTGCTCCTTGTCATGATCGGGAAATAACCTACATGCAAAAAATTTAAAGATCTCACCAGTACTAGTATACGGTATCATGGCAATATTATTTCTTTTTTGATATTGTCTTCTTTTCAGATTTGAACGTTCTACCAACGGTTGATAATATAGAGACCGTTCATATTGAATTCTCTGGAGAAGAGCTAAACACAGGTTTCGTTAAAAAGAGATCAGTGAAATCGATTGATTCAAAATCGACAAATACCCCAAAAAGGAAAAGTACTCGTCATAAAAGGTCATTCTACGACAGGCCTTTGTTTGACCAGGACGCCTACAACAGGATGGTGAGGCTTTACCGCCACAAGTCAAGTGTGACGGGGACGAATTGTAAAACCTTACCCCCCTCGAGTCTGATCCTTCCCGGGGATGTTGGGTACGGGGTGGCTGAACAGTTTCAGTATCAGGCTAGCGTGGCAGTCCGTCTCTCTCACTTCCTCTCGGCTTACCTCCAGAACACGGAAGATGCAGAAACCTTCGGTCGAATTCGAGGGGGAGCGCGTCTGCATTATGAAAAATTGTTTGGAGAAGTCTTAGCCAATGTAATGGCTGATTACAAAATATTATCAAGTGGCATATTTTTCGAACCTTACAGTTATTCAAGTCCAAACGAATCGATTCGCCATTACTTCGGTCCATTCGCTTACAGACAGAACGAAGAATTTTATGTTATAGACACTGCTGGTCTGTCCGGTAAGCATTACACTACAGAACTTTGGTACAGAGAGATGAAATACCGTTGGAATACCAACACAGACTCTTTAAAACTTTTTCGTGTCCGCTCAAAAATGCGCTCAGATGTTAATGGGACGGGTAGCCAGACACACGAACATTCTCCTCTAGGCTACCGCGCTCCCACTTTACAACAGGGCCTCTGGATGCCGCCCGAGTTTAAATGTGATGGCCGAATAGACGCGTGGGTGATGACATACGTTGCGCCATTTTTTCAGATGACGAAGCTATCAGGGAAAGTTCAGTTTATGTAAGTAATTATAACATTTAAAAAATACTTTTTTGAAAGAAATAAAACCAACTGAATTTTTTTCGTCTTCAAAAGTTGAACAATTGTTTACCAGAAGGAAAAAAGAAAATGTGAAAACTTTGTAATTTTATGATAATCAGCAACATGGTATAGAATTATATATTTTATATAAGAATTTGATCATCATCGCTTCATTGTTTTCAATCTAATTTTAGAGGGGTTGTGACTGTTGATGTTCCTTTAGGTTTGTTGGAGATTAATCCTTGTCCACAACCTTACAACGTCAACAATGCATTCAAAAACACCGCCCGCTGTCACACTCAGTCTACAACGGTGAGTACCTTAAAGTTAATGTACTGCATGTGGTATTCTTTTTCATACTAATTGTTAGTCCATTATTTATACACTAAATTGACGACTCATTTTCTCGTTATTTCCTAATGACAATAGCACACGGCGGGTGTGACAGGTCGGCAGGAGATGCTCGCTCCTCCATGGCACCTGATCCCACCTCTGATGTTTTGGAGGCCCGTGTTTGCTCTGCTCCTATTTTGTATTGTTTTGAGGGCTTTTGATCTTGAGTGCTGTTCGTATATCTCCATACACTATTTTTCATCACATTCAGTGTCTTTTGGACCGTATCTTTTTACAAGACATATGAACTTTATATTCATGATGAGTTTCGTACATGTATCATCATAAAGAAAGGTATATTGGTCCATTTATGATCATCTTGGAATCGATATACAGGGGCCTAGAGACACTAGATTTTGGATTGTGTTCCCATGAGGATTAAGCATCTCCTGTCAACCTTGAGCCCTAAGCATTATTCAGGTATACTGATAACTTCCTCGTCAAACTTGGTTAAAAATGATAATGACCTCATAAGTGATATGGAACATATACCCGGTAGTAAGACAGGATACGACCCTATGATAAGTTGCAATTACAAATAAGGTCATTATGAAAAACGTACAACTGGCAAAAAGCTTCCTTTAAACAGTTTTTTAATCCATGCTATATCAAATTATTTGTCAGTAGCCTCAGACAAAGAATTGAACATGCAGAGAGAATGCCACTGCATATGTAATCAGAGACATAAACACCACATGCAGGACGGTGAAGTTGGAATATATTATTACACAAAGAAGGGGAGTTGACGATGGAAAAGCTGAAGTCATCCCTTTATCAAACAGTTTAGTTTTACTTTATCTGTCAGTAAAACATCCAAAAATGAATTAGATGTGGTAAACGCTTTAGCGTTGTTTATTTTGAGTTGACACTGGGATATAGGCATTGAGTAAAGTTAATGAATGTATATAACTACATGTATTGGTAATTGACAAAACGTTGTTGATTATCTTAATGTTGAATTGAAGGCCACATCCACAAATAATCTTTTGCAGAAAATTTTCTCAATAAATACTAATTAAAGAAACAGGGTGGTCTTCAAAGGAACATTGTAAGTGTCCATTGGAATACCAGCAGATTGCTGGAAATCTTGTCTCTTCAAAGATTACATATAGATATTGTCAATAAGCACTAGGAACATCTGCATTGACTTAAGATATTATATATAGTATCAGAATTATTTCGACCGAAGCTATTTTGTTGATAGCCTTTCTTAGCTATGGAAATTTTCTAGATCTATTTTTATTTAGGAAGCAGTTGGTTGCCCATCACTACTTTGAAATACATGTATTGAAATAAAGGTTATATTTAGTGTAGAAAAGAGATATGTTTCATTGATGTTCAGAACGTTTTGAAATTTAAATTTTCCAAAAGTTCTTTGGAGCTTTTTTCATGAAGGTGATTTTGAAGAATTTCATTCATCTTTTGAAAGAGTATTGTGCGCATAGTTTGGACAATAATATGTGGCATTAAACCCAATTTCTTCTTTAAATTTGAAATGAGTCACTTGATATTCTTTATAACAACTAACAAGGGGTTGTTTTTTAACAGTGCCGTCCAATACCAGGCTTCCGGTTCTCCCGCACGGCGTACGCGTGCGACTGTAAGCAAGGATACGAATATCCGTTCAAGGACCGCAAGCGATGGATAGCAGGCTCGCTGATTGAGATTGAATATCAGAAAAAAATCAGAGGCTTATTCAGCAGGTTTGTATGTAATGGTTTCCCTGTATTGCAAGACTTTTACCCTAAATTCTTAGAGAAGTTTCTACCCCTTTTCAATCTAAAAGTGAGTGTATAAAATGTCCTAAAATATTGAGGTATCAATTTGCAATAAGCAAGGGTGTCCATTGATTACTTTTCGAATATTTTCCTGTTGAAATTGAAATGTTCTTCTTTCCTTCTTGACCAACGTTACAATTTCGAATGTACGATTTTTTTTTTGTAAAACTTTTAGAGGATTGCCTATTGAAAATGTAGTTTGGTGATCAAACATTTTAAATTATTCTTAACATAAGGTCAGCATTTCATCATAAGCAAAATACAAAACTTTTCTCTTAAGTGTTTTCAATGAAGTACGTTTCTATATATCATGATTGTCTGTTTGATTTTAAATTTCATGTACTTTCATTATGAGGTCAGTAACTCTAAATCTGAAATCTGCATACTTTTTTCTTTTCAGATATGACTCTCTCAGATGTAGAATATCTTCAAGTTCAAAGTTATCATGTGATGCTATAATTATATTTATTGCCATGTCATGTATTATTTATTTATTTCATTAAAATATGCAGTTATATCATTAAACATAGCAATTTTTTCATGATATTTTTTTTCATATCAAATGCCTAATGGAGAATTGTTGCATAAGAAATAAAATTGTATTTTACAATAAAAATATACTCTTAGAAGGTAATTTGTCTCGAACATTTATACATGTCATGAAAAAGACAACTGACATACATTTTTTCTATTTTGATTTAGAATTACTTTCAATCAACCAGTCTGAGAAAATTGTTCTTCACAAAGGAAGTAGAGAAAAAATTATATTTTTTAGAAATATCTCTAATCATAACAAGAGCCTAGGTAGCTGAATACTATTCGTTGTAAAAATGTAACAGGAATCCAGCTGCAATAGTAAGTGTGTATGTCCTGACGTATTTACATCTGACCTGATTCAGCTACTGCCATAATGCACTTAGCAAAACATCTCAATTTGGCATGCAAAGGTATCCATGTTTTATCTATTACTTCTCTAGATTCATAAAACAGTATTTAGTGGTACATTTACCATGCAGTCTGAAACACCAGTGCTTTGCTACATGTACAGGATGAGATGGATGATGCTTTAGAAAAATGTTAAATAGACACATCATCAAAACACACACATCTCTCTATTTCAAACCAGATTCCTTGCAACCGGGTTTAATTTCCACATCAGTATGATATTAATTGAAAAGATCTTGAAGAAATTTAATTTGAATCAGTAGAGATATGGTGTGTAGGTGGGAAAAAATACAACACTGCAAATCCCTTTCACTTTTGGTTATTAAAATAATGGATACTAGAAAATCACACTTTTGTTTCACTTACTTCCATTAAAAATGAAGAGATAAGATTTCTTTTGTTTTATTGGCTAGCATGTTGTTACTTGAGAATAAACCAATACTGATAATTTGTATATCAAACATCACAATAAAATCACATCCACACTGAAAGAATTATAACATACACTTTGATCAAAAACAGAAAAATTAACAGTTGTATATAAAAGCTTTTTTTCCCATTGGAGCATTATCACATTTCAACATTTATTTCATTGTACAATGTATAGGCTGGTGACTGTTCCTTTCTTTTTCAAAAAAAATTTTATTATTTTTTTTCAGATTTAGGATGAATAAAAAATGTTTGGGCTTAAGAATTTGAGAGGATACTTTCATCACATTGTCCATTTTTTCCAATCAAAATAACAATTAACAATCAATAACAAGTGTTCATAGATTGAGAATCAGAATAAATAAATAGAGACAATAAATACAATATACCTAAAGATATATATTTTTTGTATAAGAAATAATGTGTTATAGTTACAATCTGTAATGCACATTCTCATAATATATGTACTTTGATGATTTTTCATAATGACTTTTTATTATAATTACAAAGCATTTTTAATATATGTATAATATTGCAGAGAAAAGCAACTAACAGTAAAAATTATAAAATATTTTCCCAGTATCATTCATCAGCTACTATTTTTGTTTTTTAGTATACATGTACAGCCTTTCCAGAGAATGCATGTTAAATTGAATGACAGATACATAAACAATCTGATCAGAAAGCTCACTAAGAGTCTCTAATAAATGTATTAAAATAATTATTCATGTTTTAGTTTAGAGTCCTAACATGGTATAATATTGACTTAGTCTACTTTTTCAACTAAATATACATGTATTATCAGCACAAGAAAGGTCCTTAAATTTTCAACAGACTAAAGTGCAAAATAAAATGATTATTTATGAAATTCATAATCCACTACACACATAGCTATAGCTTGTCTACAGAAAAAAAACAACAAATGGACGGATTTTCTGGCATTTGAACACAGTAGATTTATTATGTCAGTATCTGGACAATTCATGGACGGAATGATCACTGATATGTTCTTCTCACTCACCAATAAATAGCTCACAGACTAGAGAATCAAGATTTCAGATAAAAGGTAATGACATCTGAAAAACAAGCAAGATCACTCACAAATACAATTAAATGGTATAGACATTTTCCATGTTAGAACATTTAATATCCATACTTATATTTTCTTCATGAGTATTGGACAATTTTAAGATAGTCCAGTATTTCAAAATTGAAGTAAATGACTATTAATAGCAGGTATACTTTTTATCAACACACAAGATACAGACATCTATCATATTTCAATGCATATTCTTTAAGTGGTGATTTAGTTTAAATATAAGATCCTAGGCTCGAGTCCTGACTATGACCCGCTGGGGTTGTCTAATGGTTCTAGGTCAGACTGGTGGGTCTCTATCCTCTGTAGTAACTGTTCTGCCACGGGACAAAACTGTTCTGTCCACGTCTCCTCAAAATAGTCTGTCATTTCCTCGTCCTCTTTAAATGATAAATCTAAGGCAGAGTCTCTGTCTGTAGAAAAGAAACATACAGATTGTAAATCAAATGAAAGGATGAAAAAAATTAATATGTTGAGTTACTACACATGATATGAGTCACTGTTTGACATTTGTTCACGAATTTATTTCTTTTATTTAAACCTTGTTAAGACATGTTGACTTTGAAATGATTGAAAACCATGTACTGTTCTGAGAAAAAATACACTAGTTCTTGTGTACATGTAATAAATTTGTACATGTATTAAGTTTATAAAAACCATTGTATTACCTAGTAACTCCATGAGAAGTTCCATGAGATCCTGAGACTCCTGTTGACCGAAGCAGTCATTAGAACTTGTGATTTTACCACTGTAATTCCACAGAATTTGACACACTAGACTGGCCAGTTCCCAGTCAGTCTTACTGAAGTCTCGCAGAACCTCAACTAATCTGTCAAATAATAAGATGACTTTTATACACACAGATAAATTTTTTGAACTTGCATAATTTTCAGAGACATGTATATAATCATGATGTGTATGAAAATGGTTAGGTTTCAGGCCATTGTTGTATAAATCAGTTTGGGAATAATACATGTATTTGTGTTGCAAACAGAGCAATACTTAGAAATCAAAAATCTATTAATTTATACACAATTTTTAAATAGTGGGGCTTTGAATGTTTTTGGTAATTAATTTTGTTCCTGATAAAAGCCCTGGCAGTATCACCAAAGAAAATTATAAAAATTTCTCAAATATCCTACATATTAAAGAAATCACCACCCTTTCAATATAGCCAGATACATTTTTATTAGAAAACTTACTTTCTGATACCGTGTTCCTGTTTTAACATAGGCCTCTTCTCCTCGTCCACCATAAAGTTGATAAGAACTCCACAGGAAATGTAAACAACCTCCCGGTTTCCTGAGTCTAGCATTGTGACAAGCATTCTGTCAACTAAGAATAAAACAGAAAGTGAGGTTTTATGTTTTAGTTAAATTTTAACTAAATGCGAGAGTTGAAATCAAAACCATTTTTAAATATTATTATTTTCATTTGAATAATATGGAATTTATTCAGAAACAGAAAAGGGTTATAATTTTATTCCTGATTATCCCACCTGACTTACTTTTCGGCTTGAATTTATTTAGAGACAGATGTATCAATGATAATCTCCCTTATTTACTCTTCTGTTTGAGTTTAGAGACAGAAGAGGGTTATCAATGTATCCCTGATTACCCCCCCCCCCTTTTGACTTACTCTTCTGTTCAGTGAGGAAGTCTCGGACCACCCTCTGTCTTGTAAGATTGGCAAACACTCGGCATGCCTCAACCATTGCCTCCATATTATTGGCCAGTACCAGCTTCAGAAGGGCTACAGAAAAAAAATGAAAATTTTACATAGAGAGCCTCTTCCTCTGCATATGTACTGCACTAATATAAAGCAAAAGAGAAGAAAATTTGTTTCCCTAAACAATAAACAAATCATGTTAAAATTTGGTGATCTTGACAAGACAATAAATGACACATTTTCTTGAAATGGATAACAGAAGCCTACCTTCTAAAACTCTGACTTGGTGGGTAGTGATGGCACTGGTTTTGGTGTTATAGAAGGAAAGGTTGTTGATAGTGGCTACTGTATTAAGTACAAGTTCCTCACTACTGGACACATCTTTAGTTTCTGTGAGCAAAATCATCAATATTGCTTAACAATTTACTTAAGAAGGCTATTAAGATTTACTTATTACATTACAATTTTCCTACACTGTTTCTTACATCTTTAGATTTATAAATTTAAAGAATTTATGCAACTATAACAATTAATATTAATCTGAAATGCTATTTCTGTTTTATATATATTCCCATTACCTAATACTTTGAGCAGGTAATCAACACACTGGTAGTTGGAACATATGACTGGCCCCACGTTCTCATTGATTGACAGGTTGGCTATGACCCTGATGACCTTTATAAGTACATCCTCTGTCTTGTTGACGGTGCTGCCATCTTCTGTCACTTCTTTCTTCACCTCTTTACCTTGATTCTAAAAATATACATAAGAAGTTATGTACAAAACATCTCTTTGAGAAAATACAATATATACATCTACATTTAATTAAAGTTTAGCATCTCCAACTTGGATATGTCAAACAACATGGATATGTCGAAGCAATTTGGAAGTCCTAAATGCTTTTTTCCAAGTTTTTTTACCTTCTTTAACAGGATAGTCCAATGGATTTTGAGACAATGAGGTATGACTTCATTTCAATTTGGTATCATTAATGTTAAATATTCAAGTCTTTAGAAAGGATGCAACATATACTGTAGAATACTGGAATATATACTTTAAATAGGTAGAATGACAAACCTTAACATCCTGTTCCAAGTAAAACCTAAACAAGGTCAGAAGGATGTCAAAAGACCCAGCCTCCTGGAAAAGTCGGAGTCTGGCCACTTCATTCTTAGCTGTCATGTTCCCCAACACAAAACTCACTCGAACCACCACATCCTAAAAATAAACAATAACGGTTAAGGGTGAATCAGTTCTGTTGTGAAACTTTGCTAAGAAACTGATCTTTTAATTTGTATGACTAACTATGAATAATAATGGCAAATAATTTTCTGCTTGGAAATTGTTACCTAGAAACTGTCTCACCATACTATTCAGTCAAAAACATGTAAAGAGGATACAAATAATTTGTCCTTGAAACATGTAAATCACAGATGTGGGACTTGAAACATACATGTATATACCCCCCAGGTAACTTATAGACTTGTGTTGGTGTTTCTGGAGAACACTGACAAATGATCTGTACTTGATACATGTAACATACAGACTTGTGTATACATATAACTTACAGACTTGTGTATTCATAACTTACAGACTTGTGTTGGTGTTTCTGGAGAACACTGACAAATGATCTGTATGAAGTAGGGTAATCAGCCAGGGCAGTACAACAATCAGTGTGTAATGTCACCTTACTGTAATCAAGAATAGCATTTCATTATTTCAAAAATTTGATTTAAAACACATATGAAAACCCACATTTGTTTTTGAACACGAAGATTTTAAGAGTGAAGACAGCTTTATTATGCTCAATAAATTAATTTAAAAGGTTTAAAGACTCACAAGTTTTTAGTAAGTTTGGTAGTCATGTGGTATGCTGACATTAAACATAAAATATTTAAAGCATTTACGAGATAAATCTCAATCAACATCATTCTGAGATCACTAGTTACCTGAATATTCTGGAGATGTTAAGCATGAGGTCCCCGTCTGACGTGAAGCTGTCTATGATGAGACACAGGGATTCAGTGGCCTGACATCCTAGTAACCTCTCTCTACTGGAGCCAGCATCAGCAAGGTTTCTCAGGGCTGCTGTAGCCTATAACAAAATGTGGAGAAGTAAGATTGGTGTAAAATGGTTGATATCAATAGTCACTTAAAAAAAATCATAAATATTGATGAAGTACATGATGTTTATATACTGTATACAGGGAAAGTTTCACCCCGTTTAATTTCACCCCTTTAGCTCTAACCTCATCTGGGCAAATTTAAAACAGGGCGAAATCAAAGAGTACAGTATAATTTCTAAATAAAATATGATTGAGCAAATTTAAAATGGAGCAAAATTGTCTGCAAGTGTGAAGGGTAAAAAAAAAAAACATGGGGAGAAAATAACCCTGTATACAGTAATGTAAATCACTAGAGTTGCTAAACTAATCCTATCTATCAGAAATAGGACTTGTTAAATAATTTCTCAATTTTTACATATAAATGTCAGATACAAATGAAAAAAATGTGATTTCAATAAATACCTGGATAAGAATGTTTCCTATCTGTGTTGTTGGCTCACTGCCTTCCCTTATCTACAAAATGACAAAAATGTTCAGAATCATAATAATGACTCTTTAGTAGTTACATAAAACATCTTAAATCCAGAATGCAAGTTTATAAGGATACGGTAAAATACTTATAATGAAGTGCCTGGGCCAAGCAATTTTTTCATTCTGTATTAAATAATTTGTCACATTTGTTACATGTAAAATCAAAAGTTTTAAAGCTTTTGTCCTATCCATAAAAAATAAACAGCTGCAGAAAGTACCCAGAAAAGGTACATCTGACACCCTGTTCTGATTCTTGATTCTATTTCCCACATATCTGCATGAACCACTCCCCCACCCTTTTGTGGCCCATCTTGAGCTTGGAGATTCCACATTTCCACTGCTTTATACTCACAGTTTTATTAATACTGTTGAGGAGAAGCGCCAGGCTTTCTATACAGTCCTTCTTCACTAACTGTTTGACTATTGTGGAGTTACCAGTTAACAGTTTTAAGGACCCTATACAGAATACCAGGGCCTCACTAGCATTGAAGGGATCCGTGCTTTTCAGTGTGTCCATAAGTACATCTGAAATAAACACGTTTTTTAATCAAATAAATATTATTTTAATTCAATTCATCATTGACAAACAGAAAATTTATTTCCAAACATCACACACTGAACTCAACACATGCAATGACCTAGATATTAAAACCAATGCTTGCAAATTTAACTTACCTAGAATATCTCCTTTTAGAAATTCTGGATCATTTTTCTCATTTCTGCTTATTTTGAAGACCAGCTTACAAGCACTTAATAGATTAGTGCCTGTAACCTTCAACTATGGAAAAAAATATGGAAAATGAAATTTAAAAAATCCTCATTCAAAACTAGTATACAAGTACGTGTAAAATATTTCTTTCTAATGTAAATCAGGCTTTTTCTTACAATATATGTAATTATGTATTGTGAAGAAATGTAAAAAAAAAATCTTACAGCAAGAATCAGTCTTGCTAGTTTGAGCTGAATACGTGAGTCATCTACATCCAGAAGTTTAAATATAGACTTTAAGATAGTGGTGCGTTGTTTACAATTCCTGCCAAGTAAGTTTTCCTTCTGCAGCAAGGAGTACAATTCTTCTGTCACCTGCCCTAGCCTCTTTGAGTCTTTTTCTATAAAAAAATTAAAATTGATTAATAAAACAATAAATCCTCATTTAGAAAAAAATCATGCTGACTGGTAAGTGAAGTTAATACAAAAGGTTTGCACAACATAATCCTAAAATGATGTCAAATTCCTTTTATATTTTTTTCTAAAATTAAGGGAATGAAAATGTGAACATGTCTAAGCATGAATTCATTTGAAGCATGTTTATCATAACTGTGTCCTACTGTACCATTCGATTAAAGCCTACATCTGACAGAAAACTTGGCTTATGGATTCTTTTCATCAAATACATTCAATGCAAACTTATGACCAAATTTAAAATAAAGCAATGTTCACTGTTCAAAGTACTTTTGAATCTTTGCTTTACCTCAAAAGAATAACAAAGATTTTATTTCGTGTATATTTGAAATGTACAAGGACACAACAAAGAAACAGTGAACCTACTGCTGCTTGCTTCCGTCATTCGTTCTAACAGTGGAATTATATTCTGACTGAAAAACAATGCTTCCTCTGCTGTCTCCTCTTCTCGCCTCCCTGCCGAACCTAAGACAGATACTAGGTAACATAAGAATTTCTTTAAGTTCTTTCTTTGTTGATATTAAAATCTGTATACTCTTAACTTACTTCATGTGTCTACCTTATGTGTTATCACTGAAATCTATAGAGCATTTACATACAGATATTTCTATTCTCCACTTTCTATAGATCAGTAATGTGTGGAATATTTTTTTCTTTTGACATTTACCTCCCCTGCCTGTACTTCCAGCACTAGATGTCCTTTTTGTTCCACCACTCCCTGCCCTGCTCTCTGCACTGCAAAATTATACATAAACACTCTGTCAGCTCAAAATACAGATATAAAATACAGATTTTGAAAACATGAGCAATAAATTATCTAATCAATGCTCTCCTTATTTTGCATTTTTTGAAATAACATAAGAGCATTATACCTTTGAGGTGGGCTCCTTACAGAGGCAGAGCTAGGTGCCCTGTGGGGCATTTCCCTCCCATCACCTTCTCCCCTTTCCTCCACAGGAATAGTAGTCCTCTCTTTTGGACCACTGTGAACCCTTCTAACTGACTCATCTACATTCTTTCCTATAATTAGAGAATATTCCTGCTACATCTAGTCAATACATAAGAGGTTCACATTTAGCAAGTTACACAATGAACTAAGAAAACAGAAAAACAAACATTTAACTGAAAAGAATATAAGATTATATCTGCAGTAACCCTGGTAAAACTTTCCTGATTTTATATTTACAAATTTTGATTCAATTTACATTAAAATTTCTAGATCATTGAATTTACCATCAGAAGGACTGGTATCTACTCGAGATTTGACCTCTGAACTTAATGAGCTCTCTACACTGGTGGACTGTTGTAATCGTGTTCTGGTGGCCTTCCCTCGTTGGACTTTGTTGGGATCAGAAGGAGGCTTTGGAGGAAGTAATCCGGATTCAATCTCCTCTTCTGATGGAATTTTTGGTTTCTGTATCACAGAAAAATAAATATTTCACATGTCTTTTTTTTTTTTGGTTGATCACAAGTACATCTTGTACAAGTATTAATTTACAAACAATTTTGGAATTAAGAGATATGCAATAAAGATTTCAACTTCTAAACAACAGTTCAAGAATTACTGTAATTCATAGGAAAATTCAAATAACAATTATCAAAGAATTCAAAACAAAAATTAATTTTGCTTAAGAAAGCATTGTAATTATTGTATGTTTATTGTTAATATTTGCCGTCACTGAAAAGCACAACTAGATGTTTTTCCTGATACCAATGATTATCTTTCAGGATGGACACTTCACATTTATATTAATTATTAACTATATTAATGAAAATATTATATATTTCTATTTCATATTGAACTACAATAACCACTACAGATTGAAACATTTATCTTTTTTAAATCGATGTATGCCATCACCCTTTGAAGTATTCTGTATTTAAAAAAGAATGTCATTCACAACTAAAACGGTTAACTAAACAGTCTAAATTGGGACATTCTGTTTACTATGCCCCTAGCCCTTCCCTGTCTACATTATTTACATGAGCATGCTACAGACAAACAAACAAAGAACATGCTTACTTCTTCTGAGAGGGTAGAGAAAGTAGGTGTCTGAAATTAAGACATGGTTACATTAGTCCCCGACGCATGCAAAGAAAGAAATGTCAAAAGAACAGTTTAGAAAGTCTCTGAGATGTTCAAGTCAAAAACGTAAAGCATGTTTTTTCCTCTGAATTCTATGAATTTATCTTTTATAACATTGTTTTCAAAATAATCTAAAACAATTTTATCATCATCCTTTTTTTGTGCATATATCAAACCCAATCTGCATTTAGTGCAATAAAGACACTGAATTTTTTTTTTTTTTTAAATCAATTAGCTGAAGAAATGCCTATATATCATGAGATCAGAAATGGGGGGAAAAAATCAATGAAGTGGCAAAATTTTCTACATCTATATACCATGTTTACAGAATGCTAGATCTAACTACAGAGACTGAGTGCTAAATAATTGATTATTTTGTAATTAAACCAGGAAGGCATGCATCAAAACAAACTGTGGGTCTGAATAAGTATCCTCATCCTAAAGCTTCTGTCAATTCTTATAAAGAAGGAGCATAGTAATATAGTACTACTTTATGCATAAAAATAGGTTTAATTTTGTTTCAGATGTCTGTGCATCATGTACATATCTTTTTTCATATTTGTTGAACATTCTTCATTCCTCAAAAAACCTTTTAAAGTATATAGAAAGGAATTCAAAGATGTTGATGGATTCATGATTATACCTTGAACTTTTTGAAATTGAATGCATACTTATGCATTTCTTTCTAAATTCTGATGGTAAATGGCATAAAAATACATGTGTGCAACAGAATTTTTTTCACATACAGGGACCGACAATGAAATTTTATAAGCATGGTCAAATTTCTTTTGCTCTACCTCTATTTTTACTTGCACAACCATAAACTATAAAGTTTGGATGAAATAATGACGATATCCTAGAGCAACAAAGATTAAAGTTTATTTAAAAATTATACTTGTTTACAAATGTTTCCTGATTGATTTTTTTGTGACTTGACAATGGACAAGTGTCTATTAAAAATATACAGCCTGTTTCTAAAGTACCCTAGACCTGGGCATCGGGAAATGGGATTTAATTGTCACTCCTTTGTTCATTCTTGAATTTGACAGACATTTTTCTCCAACTTTAAAGAATTCAAGCTATGAAAAAATAATCCAGACAAATAGATTATAGTTTAAAAAGATTATGCAATTACTCACAGGAAACATTAATTAACTCTTGAAGCAATATTTGAGGTGAATATAATGACATATTTACAGAAATACTTGACAGGAATCTTACATGATTGATGGGCTGTAAGCGCCCTCTAGAGGCTGGTCTGGAGGTATCAGATCCATCAAAGTGACGAGATCCTAGACTGTAAAAAAATTTACAAATATTACTCTATAATTTGTAAAAGTTCTAATACAAATCAATCTGTATATTTCAACAATGCATGATAGCTGAAGTCTGCATATCTTATTTGTTTTTGGTCATATATTTAACATGTGTAATGGTTTGGGTCGTGGATATCGGCCTGGATAGCTCAGTTGGTAGAGCACCTGACCGGAGTTTCAGGGGGCCCGGGTTCGAATCCCGATCTGGTCCGCTGCATTTTCTCCTCTCCCGTTACATTTGGTGCCGAGCCATGGCCTGGAATTGACAGGTGAGAGGCCTGCCAGGGATGAGCCTGGGTTGGGGTCTTTGGAGGGCCAAAGACCTTTAAGGAGGGAGGAATGTGGCGGTCAACCGGGTTCGATCGCCGGTGGCCAGATAGCTCAGTTGGTAGAGCACCTGACCGAAGTTTCAGGGGGCCCGGGTTCGAATCCCGGTCTGGTCCGCTGCATTTTCTCCTCTCCCGTTACACATGTATAATTCCAATCTTAATTTTATTTATCGATTCCCTGTGTTCTGATTGGACGAAAACAAATTCAAGAAAAAGTTTACACATCGATGAATTCTTCAATCAGAACTACTTTCTTGACTGTTGTAAAAACAATGAAAACAGATACTTCTAGTCCGTTTTAGCTACAAGAAACTTGAAATAAAAAATAAATGAATGATCGAATGAATAAAAAAGGACTGACAGACGGGAATATTATGTTTATGTCACTGTCGCATCACGAGTGTGAATTTTAAAAACTCGCTGATCATGCTGTCATTTTCTCGACGTTCCATATCAGCTCAGTTGGTATCGTTGTGATAGGGAAAAGAAACGTACCTCAGACTCTTGCCTTTCTGGCATCAAATTCACATGTTTACATCCTACAGATCCCATATTCTCCCTAAATCTTTGAACGAACCAGAGCAAATCGAGGACGTCGTCGGTCTTCAACTTTCGTCATGACGTCAACATGGCCATGGTCAAGGACGAATTATTCTGGAGAATACGCGTATTTACGATATTTGTTGACTTAAACAACATTCAATGAATTTTTATAAGTTTATTTATTGATTGTTTTGACAATTTAAGTTGGATTTTATCGATATTCATCTTGTACACGTTTCTTTGTGGCATCGGTGGCATTAAAGTATTCCTACGCCGTACAAAATAACGGATTGTATGGCGGCCTCAAAGGGAAATAATTTTAATAATTTAAAAACTTCGTAATTGGAATTATAAGAATTAAACGTACTTTTTTCAGAATTTATCGATGTGTAAACTCTGCCTTTTTACTCACAAACTTCACATAAAAGTGCTACGCACTTTTATTCAGTTTGTGACCAAAAAGGCAGAGTTTACACATCGATAAATTCTGAAAAAAGAACGTTTAATCCTATAATAACAGCACCTGGCTATGTCAATAAATTGATGTTATTGAGGAACACAATGGTTGAGGAACCTCAAAACTGCCCTTTAGATGCATGAGTAACCAAAATAACAACCAAAGACAAAAATATGCTAAATTAAAACCTGAAAGAACTGGGTGGTCTGTTTTCTGGGGTCCTGGAGCTTGAAGCACCAAAGAGAGATCTTGTGGCATCCCTGGGTGTACATGGTCTCTTTGTAACTACTGCCTGTAAGCCTGTTCTGTTGCCAAGAGATTCTTTTGCTTCAGTGATAATTCTAGAACTAGTTGTTTCTCCTTGAGGAAGATAAAACGGCCGATCGGGCAACTTTTTCTTCTGGGTATTAGTATCCATTCTCATACAACTCCTTTCTTTTCAGTATACGTTTAGCCTACATTCCTGCAAGAAATACAATTTTAAATGTACAGTCACAAAATATACCTAAGGTAAACAATTTGCATAAAATAAAATAGGAAATCAAAGATAAGATTAAGAAGGTAAATCAAGTTTTGGCCTACTTGACAAGTACCTCGCATTGTTGTTGTTTTGGTAGCGATTTTCCTTTCGTAAATGAATGTATTTTGCCACGAAATATATCTAACTATGATTTAATTAACTTACTCTCCATTAATCTGCACACAAAATAAAACACAAAATAAAATAAATTGATGAAAATTAACGATATTTTTCATTGTTAGTGTTTTATCGGTTGGTTGGAGGAATGTATACATGCGCATGCGCAATGAACACCGTAAAGTTTTGCCAAGTCGGTAACGAAATTATTCGACCCACTCAAGAGATGAACTTTGAGGGGACGTATAAAAAAGGCCTATCTATATATAATAAAATGCAAAAAAATTAAATAAATAAAATATTCTTAATTTTTCTAGACGTGGTACAATTCCATGGAGTTAACAACTGTTAGATGAAATTGAAAATGTATTTTGTGTATTATGTTTTTTTTTTATCAAAATAAAAAATAAAAAAAAAATATTGAAATTAACACGTTTTAGAAAATTCATATTTACTTAATATTTTAATTTAATGAAGGCATTCAGACACAACTATAACAACATAAAATACACAAAATACACCATCCTGAAACCAAGCGCATATGTTCCCCAACTGAAACATTTTTCCTTGGATCTAAAGAAGTCGGTTCATTTTATGCATAAAATGGCCCTGTAGATATACCAATTAATTGATCAACACTTGATTTTCTATTTGAAGCATTAAAATAAAATAGAGACTTGGTGCTTTCATATCCTATTAAAAAAAATTCTCCAAAAAGTCTGGGTCTTGAAGAACTGGCTTTATGAAATTGGAATGTTCTTGAATTTTTAGACAAACAGGTATAATTGAGTACTTTCATTGAAGAACAATTATATTAGCGCACTCTCTGATCTAAAAAATAAAACATGTCCATGAATCCTCAGAAACAGTTCTATCATTTACAAGTTGCATATTTTAGATCAGAGGTTGCGCTCTATATTAAATATCAAAAAATAGCTTTAAAAATTGGCTGTTTTATAGACTTTTTTCACAATATGAGGAAATTGACGCATTTCTTGACGTCATAATGCATTGACTAGCCAGAAAATGACGTCATTTTTGATAGATACGCAGTCACCAAAGATCTAAGTGATATTCAATGCATTGTTAAGTAAAACTATGCAGTTTCAGTTTTCAGAAATTCACAGGGCAAAGTAAGGCAAAAGTGAACCTTGTTCTTTAAAGCAGATAGCCCTGTTTTGAAAGTTGAATAGATAAAGTTTATAAATATGATATAATTTCATCATATTCCATAAAACATTTTAAAATTTTGTACACGGATTTCTTAAAAATTCTGACAAAAGGTGAATGAGAGTGATAGTATATAAATATTGCATGTAGTTGAGTGTAACATTGAAAATCTTCACCCCAAGAAAACCATTGTCAACCGAGGCGCAGCCGAGGTTGACAATGGTTTTCGAGAGGTGAAAATTTTCAATGTTACACTCATCTACATGCAATATTTATTATATTATACTGAATGTTTTATACAAATACATATAGGCCTAACAGTGAACCGTGCGCGCATAAATTCTGCGCAGTCGCTATTTTTTGTTATACCACCCGTCGTCAAGCAATGTTGACTGTTGCTACGCTGGAGGGCGTGGCTTCATTATTCAGCGGGTAATAGTGTTTTTTAACAAATGTTTCTCGACCAATCAGATTCAACTAATTTACATGAAAGTATAATATATCTAAATAAAATCTGCAAAACGTACACTACAAATTTGTGCACAGTGACCAGGAAACAAACACAGAGCCCTGGAAATTCCAGAGATGGGATCAGGTGCTTAGGAGGACATAGCATCCCTTGTTGATCGGTCACGCCCTAATTATATTGATCAGGTAGATGGAACAGACTTTCCATAGTCAAAGTCAGGATCAAATCAAAGGCCGAACAATTGCATATGGTGTTTATGTCTCCCAACTCATTTGCCACTCAAGAGCATGATCTGAGTATCACTTTTCACCGCATGATAAGTTAAGATAACGGGTTCGTTCGCCCGATCTACCTGTTCGCAGGAGTCCGTTTGCACAGAGTCCGTTCGCCCGAAATATTCTTCGCCCAATATCTTGTTCGCCCTAACAGTGGTTCGCCCAATACTTATATACATGTATACTAATTCTTGTATATATAAATTAAAAAAATTAACATACGAGTATATCAGTTATAGAACCATAAGTTAATGTTACAGGAATTTCAACACTGAACCTATTTATTAAAAGCATCATTTTGTATGATAATGACTGTGACCTTTTTAACAACTACCGGTATATAGTCTAGTTAGGATTCTAATGTTTTCATCAAGTTGGGTGATTTGTTTCTTACATATATCAATTGTTCGGCCTTTGATTTGATCCTGACTTTGACTATGAAAAGTGTATGGAATATTTCTTCATATAAAAGAAGGTTGACGATTGAAAATTTCTGAAATGTTCTCGTTTGAAATACAATCAAGTTAGATGGCCCTTATTCTATAGTTAGCAAAACATTCAAATATGAAACAGATGTGACAGACTCAGCACTTAGTGTCTTTTATTTCAAGTTCACTGTGATATATCTTGTCGAGAAATGGTCGATCAAAAAATGTTAACTATAATAAAACGTCGTCGAAATATCTAACTATAGTTTTGAAGGCCACACCCATCGTCGCAAATTGTACGATACTCTTATTCTGGTAGGAGAGAAGTGTATGCGGACTCCGAACTGTGGCTTGAGACGATCGATGGGCCACAGTATAAATGTTAACTTTTTCTCATGTAGATGATTTTGAATAAATTCTGCTTCATATGAAGATAAATACAGGTCACCCAATAAAGAGGCACAATAAGTTTACCAGTCGGAATTATAACAGTTAAGAATTAGATGACTAAATAAATTTTGCAAATGAAGAACTCAAGAATCCTTTTAATATCAGCTTCTTTTTACTTGTGTATAGAATCAGTCTGAGTGATTTTTAACTATGTAATTTTGTTGATGACCAATCACAAATATGAAAATAACTTTATGTTAAATACTTTGATACATCAGTATAATTTGTAAAGAGATAAATAATTCATCATGTGATATATACATGTACATAAATTTCAAACTTATGTTTGAAAGACGTGTAAAACAAAAGACTAAAAGTTCAGCTAGTTCAACAGACTAATATCAGGGTTATGAGAGAAGCAGACATTTCATCAGACCACCATTTGCTGATGACGGCATTAAGACTATATGCTTTAAGAAGTTCAACAACATGACAAACACGGGGAAAAGCTACAACACAAGTGTCCTCAAAACAAAGGAAGTAAAGAAAACATTTCACCTCACCTTGTCTAACAGTTTCCAGCTGCTACAAGACCAGCTAGAAAACAATGACACCAAGGAAACTTTAGAGGAAAGACTCAACTCAAGGAGTGGATCTCTGTTGATAACACGAGGAAACTGGATGAGAGGAAGGAAAAGAACGCGGCTTTGAATACAAGAAAGACAAGAACAAGAATAGCGAAGACAAACTCTCAAAAGGACTACACGGCCACGGATAAAGGAGTTACGAAAAAGCACCAGGAACGATAAGATCAAATCGACAACCTCCTGTCCAAACAGCTGAAGAAGCAGCGGGACAAGGAAATTTGAAGACGCTCTCCAACAAGTTCCAGCAAACAGACAAGCCAGTGAAAGACAAGAACGGGAATATACAATTGAAGAACAATTTAAAGAGGTAAGTGGAACGCTTTGGAAAACTATGAAATAGACCAACACCAGAAACATCTCCGGACATACAACAAGCTGCCGATCAACTGCGACAAGCCAACAAGGACATAGATCAGGGGAACAATTAACAAACTAAAGAATGAAAAAGCGGCAGGACTTCATGACATACCAGCATAAGCCATCAAAGCTGATACATGGACAGCCGTTAAAGTTTAATTCAACTCCTTCAAGAAGATCTAGGAGTAAGAGAAATTCCGGAGAGAAATGGAAAGAACTCATCCTTATTAAGCTGCCAAAGAATTGAGATCTGAGGTACTGCAGTAATTACAGGGGAGTTATGCTCCTGTCAATACCTGGTAAGGTCCTCAACAGAATACTTCTTGAGAAAATGAAAGAAACGGTGGACCCAAAGCTCCGTGACCATCACATGCTGACCAGATAGTCTGTCTGCATATATCAGCATAGAACAATCACCGGAGTGGAAATCCCCCCTCTGTGTCAACTTCATCGACTAAAAAAGCATTCGACAGCGTGGACCGAGAGACATTGTGGAAGATACTGAGGCACTATGGAATACCAGAGAAGGTAGTCTTCCTGATTCGAAACACTTACCAGGACATGATATGCAAGGTTGCCCATGCTGGCCAGATTTATGCGAGTTTCGAGGTCAAGACAGGAGTTCCATAAGGATGTTTGCTGTCACCATTTCTTTTTCTCTTGGTAATTGACTGGGTCATGAAGTCTACCACATCAGGCAGGAACAATGGTATACAGTGAACACCCCTGAAACAACTCGATTTTGCCGATAACCTTACTCTCTTTTCACACAACCGCTGTCAGATACAGGATAAAACAACTCACTTTGCAAAAAACATCGGCAAGAATGGGACTCAAAATCAACTTGAAGACTTAGTAAACATAATGGATGAAGATAAACACCAAAAATTTAAAATGATTTAGTCGTTCAGACACTGAGATGATTTTTCAGTAACTTCCAGATGTCTCCACTAAATTAATGACTACCTTAAAGTTTTGAAAAAAGTCTTTAAATGATCGTAAAATCAATGAGTCTCTCAAAGAATGCACAAATTCAGAACAAAAAGTTTGCGTAATCGAATTTCGGAGATATCTTTCAAATAATGCAAAATGTTTTGAACGCCCAATAATCTTTCAGTCTTTTATCATTTTCAGTTTTACATTGACTTTCTTAATCTTGATTTCTCATCTATATCTCTTGATTCAGTCGATTGCTCAACAAAGTCGCCAATGTTGTTATAAAATACAATGTGATAAATCTCATTTTGAGTGATATCAAAATATATGAAAATAACCTAATGTGCATTGCAAATGACATCATGAACATAGAGTTAAACTTTTCGAGGCTTTGGGGTTTGCGAAGAAATAGGACAATTTTCACGTCGCACAAATCCCTTGAATGATTTACATGACTGTGTTTATAAGAGATCAATTTGCGCATGTTGCCAAAAATAATTAAAGAGTTACGATAAGACTCTATCTCAGATTTTACATGAGTCTCGGATATTTGTCCAATAATTCTTAAGCAAAAGCGAAAAAGTCACCGTGAAAGCTCAGTTGGTTTGAATGCGGCGCTCGTAGACATATTTACTATGACACATTCCAACCATGTTGCCCTAGGCCTCTTTGAAAGAACTCTGATTGTGATAGCTAGCAAAGCAAATATGAAGATCCTGAAGACCGAAGAGAGTTCTTTCGTTATGGACTCTTTATGTTGTTATGGAACACTCTTTTGCGACGAGAAATTCCGGATATTGCCAGATTTTATGGCAATCTGTAGAGATCAATGAAGCTTAAGAATTTTCTGTGTTCATTCAATTTTGTTTTGGAAAGCGATTGCTTTGCGAATAATCGAAATCAGTAAACTGAAATAGACCACTGTCAGAAGTTTTTTAGTTTTCTTTTGAAGACATCTAAAATGTTACTGTAAGGGAACACTTGGCAACCTTTTTGCGCCTTTTTGGGCGTTCTTTGAGAGATTGATTGCCATTATGTTGCAATCATCGAGAGACCTGTTAAGTTGACATGGAGACAGCTGAGTTCTTTGTGAAACCACTGAAAGATGAGGGCCATCATTGGGCATTGGGCAAAGAAGTATGACAAATTTTACATTGCAGAGCAACTGTTCAACAGTCGCCACCTCTGTACAAAGGTTTGAGAAACAGACTACATTTTACATCGCCAAGAGACTATTTTTAGTAGTCAAAACTTTGGGGAGACCATGAAGATATTTGGGAGAACTGAGAGATGATGACAAGGGTCTGGAGACATTGGAATGTCTCTCAAAGTTTGCAACAATAAACATTAATAATTTTTCGCAAGTATTTACTGTGGCAAATGACTTCCTGCAGCTACAATCGCCAATGTTTCCTGCAGCTACAAATGCCAAGGAACACGTACTATAGAAGAGTACGTGTGAAGAGTTTTAATGTTTTTCACTTTCATACACATACATACTGCATTTTATAACGATTTCTTTCGGTTACATGAACGAAGCAGTCATGAACTACATGGTACTAATTGTCAGTATTGCAATTTATCTGTTTTTTCTCTAATGAATTTCACGCTGTCTATATTTCTTATCATATCCGCAGCTTTTTCTGCAATCATGATTGTTGGAGCATTTGTATTTCCCGAGGGTACATTGCGCATGACGGACGCATCCACCACTCGTAGACCTTGAACCCCCTTCACCCTATAAAGTAAAGATTTTTAGTGCATGACTATTCCTTTTTCTTCAAACATTTTGAAATTTCTTATTATAATACTATTTGCAGAATCTTTGGATTTACAGAATGATACTCGTATTGTTAGATGAAGAATATCATTACGAAAATCTTCAATACAAAATTCTATCATTTGTCACAAATGAGGTAAGACACTTTAAGCATTGCAAAAATAATGAAGTGAATATATATTAATGTAACCAACTTAAGTTCATGATCTACAACTGCTGTCGGGTCATCCTTTGCTCCCATTCGACAAGTGGACGTTGGATGATATACTGTGTACGTTATATGCCTCAGTCTACAGATCCAATACTCGTCTGATCCAGGAGAAAGATCGTCACACTGAGGTAGGTACGTCTCAAGTGGATCCTGGGATGAGGCACCAATTGACTTGAAAGCTACAGTGTCCCCCAATTTTATAATCTCTCGAACGCCTAGAAAAATATCAGTACATATCATTTTTCAACGTGTGCCACAAAACTCCAAACTGCAATGTTTGAGAAAATGCATTCACTATGAAGATGCACAAAAGTTTACCGAAGCAGACACTAACCGAAGTCTTTATGTTTAATGCTTTGAAGTTTGAACACATACTAATGTGCATTAACACTCTCTTCTAATAAAACGTCTCTAATCAGATCATCACATTTAATTTTGATTTAAACACATTAGATAAAATTTGAATACCTTTTAAGAATGTTTTGATATCATCCGGGTGGTCGAGATAGTTTGGGTCAATGAGTGGCGGATCAAAAGGATCATTACTCTGAAGGCGGATGGTCCCCCGACTTTTGGGATGAAGAAGAACCGGGAGTACACTAAATGTTCCAATGTTTCGGTCTTTGTTTCTTTGAAACTCCCGCTGTTTTCCTTCCTTTAGCTTCATATTGAAAAAGCACAAGCAAACATTTGTAAAAAGGCACACTGCTGAATACGGTATGATTATTAAATTTTTCTGCGCAAGTAAGCTTGATAAAAAATTAAAGCCAAAGAGAAATAAAATAAAAATAATAACAACATGTACCTTTCTATCTATATTAAGCATGTCTAAGAACAGGTCGGTGAGCTCGGGCTCATACATAAAGCTGAAGAAATGAAGCTCAATATGCGGCGGAAGGTTTTCATCCTCCGTGAGAAATGCGGTTCCCTCCGTATGAGGCCTGCTCATTATTCCTACAATAATGTTTAATGCATTCTATGTAATAAAATACCCAAATTAAATTTTAATGCATAAATAGATTAAATAAAAATGAAAACTACAAAGTGGCATACTAAAACAATGATTGAATCATGTTTGAAATCACAACAGATCATAGACACAGAAAGAACAGTCTAGGTTTGGTGTATAGTTCTGGGTATGTGATCTCCATTAAAATACAAACTGAACCTTGTACAAAAATTGAAAAAGTTTGAAAGAATTTTAAAATAAATTATAGCATTGCAAATTTCGCATTTTTGAAAAAAAAATCAGGAAGATAAAAAAACATAACGAACCCTCGACTTCGAGAGAATCCCTACTTTTTTGACATATTATTAAGCAAAATGTCAGAATGAACCCAAACTTTTAAAGCAGAATGACATTAAAAACGTAATTTTCTTATAATATACTACTATTGATGTTCACTTATTAGTACAAAATACATATAAATCATATACATAATTTTTTTTTTATCAAAAACAGTTTACCTGACTTAAATGCCTTGTACTGCATCTGTGATAGGGGTGACATTATCTTAGTTCTGGAGGCAGAACTGGTGGTGTTGTCATGGAAGTCTAAGAACGTCTTCAAGTGATCCTGTAAATTTTCTCCTACTGGCAGATCGGCGACCACTGGGATCTGAACAGAAGTCATTTCTTTGTCGAACAGATCAAATTCTATTGTATTCTTCATAGTCATAATATTGAACAACTAATAAAAATAATTTTGTAACCAGTTGTAAAACCTATTTAATGGTCTCAAGAAATTGATGATATATCTAACATTTTCAATTATAAAATTAAAATGTACATGTATGGAGATCATTCTATATATTTGTGTCGTACCCCCATGGATGTGAGATGTTCCTTTGGTCCTATTCCAGACAACATCAAGATCTGGGGTGACTGCACTGAACCTGCTGAGACAATCACCTCCTTGTTCGCCATTATGACGTACTTCCTGTTATCTCGAACAAAGGATACTCCAACTGCCCTCTTATTTTTTAATCAGAATCTTGGATAAAATTAAGGAAGATATACATACATGTATTTTCATATTTTTCGAATATCACTCGCATGACTCGTATATCATCAAATTGTGATTGATAACAGAACAAAAGTATTGAATATCACGCCAAATAAATTTAATTTCTTAACGATGCATAAAAATAAGATTATTAATGAAATGAAAAATCAAATTTCCATTTCGAGTTTACCTTGGTAACATAAGAGTTTATAGAGACATGCAGGTTTTGGCGTTCCATGGCAGGTCTTAGAAAGGCCTTGACGGTGCTCCAACGTTCTCCATTTCCAACATTTTCTTGAGACGCACAGTAACCTGTTTAAAATGCATGAATTATATCAGAACCAGCGTTAATCAGTGGTTTGTAAAGATTGTACAAAAGAGAAGATAGATATATAGAAACTGAGTAAGTGCATGAGGTATTTTAAGGCAAATATAAAAAAAGGTAGTGTGGAGCCAAAGAGGAGTAGTGGTTGAAGAAATAACTACATGTTTATCTTCCTAACTCCTATTCTCAGTTGGGGCAAATAATTAATATTTACATTTTTCTGTATTATTCATTAATTGTCCTTGAGAATTTTCGTGTCTTTACTCTACACCTAGCTTATATTAATTCAAAACTTTGCAGGGAGAGAAATTGAGTAAATAAACGCTTTACGTCATGATGGGCAGATGAAAACTTATACGAGGTGTAGAGACTAACCTATTTGTGATTTTCCATTACAGTCTGTAATAGAGTGACCAAGCTCTTCCATTGCACGTGCATACACATTTCTACCAAGGGGTGTGGCAGTCGCGTCAGTAACGGACAAATATCCCCCTCTTCCATGGTATGCTAAAAAGCAAAATACTATGTATACAACATGCAAACCGGACACATGCATCGGACACTAATGTTTTCTCGATATACGTAATGTGATTAAATAGACGATACATTCCATAGTCAAATATGTTACAAGAACAAAGAACTAACAATTGATATAAAAAAAAGTCAGCCAAAAAAAACCCCGACACAATGATAGGTTATACTTTGCTGATGAGGTAAGAAAGGCCATAGGATTTTCTAAATGATGGCTCATTTAGGTTGTTAAAATCCCTGCATGTAACATCAACATATGTGTGAGTAGCATTCCTCAGTTTAAAAATAGATGAAAGCAGGATATTACTGCATAATTAAGGAAAGTTGACGATGGAAAATTTAGTCATATCGTTTGTCATACAATTTAGTGCTACATTTATAAAACATATCATCATACTTCTATAAACCAATTTAAAAAGAAAAAATGATACTAAGTTTTTCTAATAATCAAGGTATAAAATAGTTTCTTTTCTTTTTCGATCATTATAAATATGACTTTTCCCCGAAGAAAAACGTGTATTTTAGATTCCATTTGCCATGGAAATTAGCAAATTCAAAATAGTCTTTGGTCATTTTAAACCAGCTATAATACTAGGTATAAGACCAACGGTCTATAAAATTATTAAGGTTAAATTAATAAGGTTATTTGTACCTGAATTCATAAGTTCTGGAATTTTTATATCCTCGGATTTAATAAAATACGGAAGAACATCTTTATAGCTCCATCCTTTACACCCCTCCTTGGCCCAGCCATCGTAGTCATGGCGACTGCCGCGGACATATTGCATATAATTTAAGTTACTACTACCGCCAAGAACCTTTCCTCGTGGCCAGGCAGACTTCTGAAAAAAGAAATGAAAAGGAAATACGATAAAACACTCTTTGGTAGTGTTTATGTATATAATGCATTTTGATGTTTTTATGATAAAGTTAACACACGAACGTGATTCTCATTTCCTTTGCAATAATCATGATAAATCTTTGGAAATCTTTTTCTCGTAGTTTGATGCACCACTTTATCTTTTAGATATCAAATTATGTAAGAATGTTCAATAGCTCTTTTTAAAAATCTAATAAAGGCGTACCTACCCTGTCACGCATTGCCAAACATGCTTTCTTCTGTGGTGCAGTTCGGAACATCCAGTCCTGTTTTGATAGCTGAACAAATGCAGAAGAGATAGGAACACTTATATCTGCATTTTCATCTTCGGAACCCCCAGCTTCCAGGATAAGTACCGAGGATTCTGGATTTTCTGAAAGTCTGTTTGCGAGGACACACCCGGCCGATCCAGCTCCTACTGCCAAACGAAAGTGAAAACCAGAAAAGCTATAAATGAAGTAATATGATAATAGAGAAGCACGCTTTACGCCGTCATAGAAGTATGTGCTACTGAAAGTGACAATTTGAGAAATCCGTGTAACCCTCTTTTATCAGATTAATCTTTTCAAATTCAAGATCTAGTTATAACTTGTGAAATTTTCGCGTTAAATTGACGTAAAACATCATAGAACAATTATTGAGAATTTTGAATTCGTCCATTCTCTGAATGAAATATCTACTTAAAATAAACAGATACATAATAATGTAATATTTTCTCTACTTACAGATTATGTAATCGTATGAAGAGTTGAATGAGATAAGTTCCAGTTTTCCAACCTTGTGGTTCGTAGAGTATAGAACAATAACACCAAGTATGAAGGCAATTATAGCCCCTTTTTGGATCATCGTCTTCTGAATTGAAGTTTACCTTGGCAAGTTTAACTCTGAAACAGCTTGATAGGGTCAGATGAATTAACATTTTAAACAAGTAACTGTTCATCTGATTTCTGAACATTATTGTGTTTCGCAAATTTAAAAGGTATTTGTCCCTTCTTCCACATGTACAAATTAACTGAGTTAAATAAATTAGGCATACTTACGGAAGCGTATTAGGGCCGCAGCAGTATTTTTTTTAAATTTGTTATAACAAATTATTAATTTGTTTAAACAAATTATTAATTTGTTATAACAAACTGATAATTTGTCATAACAAATTGATAATTTGTTATAACAAATTATTAATTTGTTTAAACAAATTATTAATTTGTTATAACAAATTAAATTAATTTGTTATAACAAATTGATAATTTGTTATAACAAATTAATAATTTGTTTAAACAAATTGATAATTTGTTTAAACAAATTGATAATTTGTTTAAACATATTGATAATTTGTTATAACAAATTATTAATTTGTTTAAACAAATTGATTATTATACCCCCCGCTTGAAAAGCGGGAGGGTATATAGTAATCGTTAATTCCGTCCGTCTGTACGTCTGTCCGTCCGTCCTTCCGTCTGTCCGTCCGTCCGTCTGTTACGCTTTGGGGTACCCATCTTGCAACTCCTCCTAAACCACTCAGTAAAATTTGATGCAACTTTCACAGAATCTTTATTACATATTGCCATTGTGCACCTCCTATTTTACTTTTTGATCCGACACATATTTTGAGTTTTCCAGCCACAGGAAAACATGGACTTTTTCACCAGTTTTAACCATATGGGAGGCGGGGGGTATCATTTAGTGAGCTCATCGCTCACAGTACCTCTAGTTTGTTATAACAAATTGATAATTTGTTATAACAAATTATTAATTTGTTTAAACAAATTGATTATTTGTTATAACAAATTGATAATTTGTTATAACAAATTAGTAATTTGATAAAACAAATAACTATTTTTGACAAAATTTGAAATGTATACAATCTACGAAAGCCAGATCAAATTAAAAATCTTAGTATATGTCGGATTTATGAAAATGATTTGCAACTGTCAAAGTTTTTGGCAAATAATAAGGCTTTAGTGGGACTATTGAGAGCTTTTTCAGCAGGCTCTTTATTTATTATTAAAAAATATCATGAATACAAAAGAATTGAATGACACATTAGGAATTTAAAATTAAATTTCACCAGGAGATACCCACTCAAGAATATTGTGGGTTTTATTTTTTTGTTCGTTTTCCGGGGAAGGTTGTTACGGAATGTTTTTTTTTCTTGATAATTTATCCGCAAATTCATTTTGGTCAATGGTGCCTCTGTTGCTCACAGCTTTATAGGAAACCATGGAGGTTCACCACGGGTGCAGATCCAGGATTTTGCATATATAGAATTGGGTTTGGTTTAAAGATTTTATTCTTTACACATGAATTGGGTTGAACAGTAGACATAAATGCCTGTCGAAAAGCAATATTCAAAGTAGATCATGTAACATGTAAAGAAAGAATCCAGAGAGAGAGAGAGAGGGGTGGGTTAGAATGAACAAAAACAAAACACAAACTAGAGGTACTGTAAGCAATGAGCTCACTAAATTATAACCCCCCCCCCCCCGCCTCCCATATGCTTATAATGACAAAGTCGGGAAACCCAAAATATGTGTCGGATCAAAAAGTAAAATAGGAGGTGCACAATGGCAATATGTAATAAAGATTCTGTGAAAGTTTCATTAAATTTCACTTCGTGGTATAAGAGGAGTTGCGGATAAGAGATGGGTACTCCAAAGCGTAACAGACGGACGGACGGACATACCGATTACAGTATACCCTCCCACTTTTCAAGCGGGGGGATATAATAAAACAATTTATATTGTAACATTCTGTTGCATGGCTCAAATAAGATAATATTTTTCCTAGCATACGAATTGGGTGATATGACTGTGCAGAGTCGGAAGGGGGTGGGGGGGGGGGGGCACTTATGGACAAACTTTCATTAAAGCTTCTAAGAACAAGCTATAAGGAATAGAATCTAGGACATTGATGCAATTTATCATGACGTTGATGTTTGAAGTGAAAACTCTGAGCTGCTAGAAGAAACATATAGGTCAAAAGCTTTGCAGACTGTGTGCTTATTGTTTCACAAATTCAATATTTCAAAGATTTCTAATCTGATATAGATTCCATAGTTCTGTGTACATGTCAAATATCCAAAAATAGTAATTTGTTATAACAAATTAGTAATTTGTTATAACAAATTATTAATTTGTTACAACAAATTATTAATCTGTTATAACAAATTAGTAATTTGTAATAACAAATTATTAATTTGTTTTAACAAATTAATAATCTGTTAAATCAAATTAATAATCTGTATAACAAATTAATAATTAGTTTAAACAAATTAGTAATCTGTTATATCAAATTAGTAATTTGTTTAAACAAATTATTAATTTGTTATAACAAATTATTAATTTGTTTTAACAAATTAATAATTTGTTATAACAAATTAATAATTTGTTATAACAAATTAATACTTTGTTATAACAAATTAATAATTTGTTTAAACAAATTAATAATTTGTTTAAACAAATTAATAATTTGTTATAACAAATTAAAAAAAAATACTGCTGCGGCCCTAATACGCTTCCGTACATACTTGATAATATAATTTTAGATTTTTTTCACTAGTTTTATTCGTTAAATTACATTTAAGATCTATGGTTTATCTGGAAAAAAAACTTTCAATTTCAAGGTCCCAAAGAGCATGATGACTTAAACCACCAAAACAAATAAGGTCTTTGAAAATCTTTATTTACTACTGGGTGGACATCTAAATTGTTTGCATGTCAATTACTCTAACGAATTATACTGCAATAAATACTTTTAATTTTACTAAATAATTGAAATGTGGACATAGATGATAGTAGAACAAACAACGACTTCTAAAACATCAGGTGGGATTATAGGTGCCATTGAAAAATAAGCATCCCCTGTCGACGGGCCACATCGGTCTTATGCTCCATTTCTTGTATGCATTTCAGTTCTTTATATTATTTCCCCAATTTGTTTTGGATTTTCCTGTCCTTGGTCCTTTTCTAGAATTTTTTCCTCGGATCTTAGAATATGGAAATGTTGATCAAATATAAATAATTTTCTCACCCATTATTTAAAATATGTTTTCCCCGAAGAAAAGTAGGTAACACACTCTGAGATAATTGACAATGAATAAAAAGTTCCATATGAAAATGGTAATTCATGTCCAAAGGGTTTCGTGCTCCAGTTCCATATTTAACAAAAAGGATAATATTAGATGAGGTCATAGTACCCATGTAACCGTCAAGGTCAATAGGCTTCTAGCTTGCTATATTGTTATACATACATGTATAGGGTATTGTTAATACGAACCGCAGAACATAATTATGCAAAATATGCTATTACAGATCTCAAATTAAACATTACAAGTGTTATTAATACTTGCTTCAAAAACATAATTACTATATATCAAAACATCTATTGTTATTTGCAAGTGGGAATAGGTGAAAATGAGATTTTTAAAAAGTGGGAATAGGTAGAAGACACCCTTGGTAGATGCTTACCTTTCTCGGTCCCTATCTATCCCATATTAAATCAAAAGGTAAACACTTTTGACCTGGACAGTAGTGATAAAGTTGATCCACAATGAAATACTGTAGTACTCAGGTATACATAAATATTTGTAATTCGAACTTGTCATCTGAACATTGCTTTTTATAACTTCTTATCAAGAGTAATAATTCAATGGCAGTAACCTGCAATGTCCTTAGTTGTGATATGCTGAAAACCTGACATTAATTGTAATCAACTTCAACTTCCCTTATTACTTATGTAGCAATCTGTCAGTTGAATCGAAACGTAAGAGCTATTCTACGGATTAACAATTTCTAAATTTGTAAATTATTGACAAACAGGCTGATGAAACACGAATATCAGCAGTCTCGTTTAAAGACATTATTTCATGTTCTCTGATCGATACAATGTCCTTGTCAGCAAATAAAAATTATTATAGAGTCAAATGCTGACTGACGTTTTTCATATCAATTGTTAGTTAATTATTATCACACTGAATTGAAAAATAATTTTTCCATTATCTCCCGATCTTGACATGGAGCTAACGGTGGTTTTGGCCTGTCGGCAGGGGATACCAACTCCTCCATGGAACCTGATCCCACCTCTGATGTTTATGAGGTCTGTGTCTGTTTTGCTCATATTTTGTATTGTTTTATGGACTTTTGAGCTTGAATACTTTTCGCTATCTCCATATATTTCATTGATGAAGCAAGAATACCAGCAGTCACCGTTAAAGTAATCATTTCTTAAGTTCTATGGTTGATATAATGACCTTGTCAGCCAATTTTATTATACGAGGGGTGATCAAAAAGTTCGCGAACTATCTCTGTATCTGCAAAACCACAATTCAGATTAGAAAAAAATTGGTCCACAGATATCCATACACGAGTTCTATAAATAGCATATGCAGAGTAAAAATTTGATTCTGTTTGTGACGTCACAATGTGAAAATGACGTCACTATGCAGGTCACTTCTGACGAAAAATGGTTGTCTCAGTCGAACTCGTTCAACAAACGACTGTAATATTTATGGTATATCTTAGAAATCCCTTTGAAGGAGCGTGTAATAATTTGTACACAGTTTATTAAGTCGAATGACTTCCTATGAATTTAATCAATGATTGGATTGATCGTTTTTGTGAAGGAAGGCAGATGGTTAGATATGATACTTGTTATGTTGCCCAGTGAAAGCAAGTTTAAAAAGAGATGTGTTTTAATTAGGCAATTTGCTATCAAAGACCTCCAATTTACACTTTGAAAAATAGTTGAATATTTCAACAATAATATAATTATCAAATACCTAAGATATTGTTTACTTTAGGTTTTGAACATACATTTATTAGATATGATAAAAAGGAGGCACCCATTTA